GAAAGTGTCAAATCACCAGTATTTTCGCTTTGACTTCAAGTGAAACACCAAGCTTCAATCAAACCTTCTTAAACTGGCCTTCAGTATTTCTTTTCGGGGGAATCCACCCCCACCCCTATAAACTGATTTAGTCCTATATACTGGTAGCCCGTAAGTAATTTGTTTGTTTGCTTCAATAGTTCAATTTGTTTTTTGTTTTTTTTCATTTCTTTTAATTTGTTCGCATATCAGCTTTGAGTCAATCTATAAATTTCAATTCAAATTACGCGAGATAATAATAAACAAAAAAGAAGAAGAAAAATAACATCCTTCCACTACGATAATTTGATTGCTATTGAAGGAAATAGTTTTTCTTTCGTTTTCCGATTATAATCGATTAACATGACGTATCTTTACATAAGTAAATAAACCAGCCATATATGGCGTCGAATAACATGCGTGCATCGTTGTATGATAGGGGAACTTGTATATGGCATGGCAAAGGGCTCTTATGTTGTCGTTTAAATCATGGGCAACAGTGGGTTTATTTGGTTATTGATCAAACAAACGCAAACTTGTCTCCGAAAATCGACTTTCTCTCAGAATATTCCTTCTCCCTTAATAACCATCCCTTTCTCTATCCATCTTCTCTCTGATTGTCAAACGAAAACTAATACCTATACATGTACAGTCCATAAAATGCTTCCAAATATATATTTTTTTTAAATTGACTACAATCCACAATCCCCATTTTTCACAATTTTCTTCACAGTATATTGAATCAACTTGATCTTTCTTGTCTATAAAGAAAGTAACTGGTTCACAAAATTGGTTTAAATAACCAATGTCAGGGTGTCAGGACGGTAATTTCTGCGTAAAAACAGATTTTTTTTATCAAAATTATTTTATTTTATTAATATTTTTTTTGGTTACGAATATATATAATTTCTTTTTATTTTTTTTTGGTTTTGATGTGTTACATTGCAGCGGAATTATTGTATGACAAATAAGACAAGAACATCGACCTAGGGGGAGTCCTAATACTCGACAGAAACATCCGAATACCCTATATGTACAGTAGAGGAGATAAATCATAAATCTCTGAGGAGTCTCCAGCTCTACTGGTTTAGACGAAGTGGGTTAGAAAATGAGTGCTCATGTCCTTTTCTGGCTAAGCCTTCATTTGTGACTCCTGACTGAGAAAAGACATAAAAATGGTGAGGATTCATTGGTCATTTATTGAAAATACATCTGTGAAAGCCTGATCTCCTCTACTCAACATGCTTAAGGACATTATTTTCAGGAGCAGAATTGTAAAATTAATATCTAGAAAAATTTAATACCGGTAATAGTGTAAACACTTGTTCACTAAAATCTAAAACAAAAAAAAGGGGGGGTTACATCGCTCAACTGAACGGTCCTCAAGTTAATTATTGTGTCGCCTGCAGAGCAGAGCGACACTAAGGGATCACTTTACCCGGAGTCTGTCCATCCGTCTGTAACACCCTATATCTTGAGAACTGTATGAGGTATGGTATAATATTTTGCACATACATAACTTGCTACTATGGCTATTGCAAAATATCAAGGTTACCCACCTCGTGGCCTTTGAACTTGACCTTTTGATATATTTTTCAAAATAATTCATAGAACCAACATACAGATTATTTTTTGACAATAAAGAGGTAAGCTGTGCTATTTAGCATATGCGCTGATTGTCATAAAATATTCTTTAAAAAAAGCGTGAAAATCCACTTGACCTTTGACCTCTTTTGCAAAAGGACTTCGAACGGTTAAATCAAAACTTATCTTTTGAATTTTAAGAAGCAGAGTTTCTATAACAAGCTTATATATCACATCTGTATGAGCTCGAATGATACTGTACTTTAAAACTTAATAAATTATTATTAATAATAATAATAATATACAGTTACCAAAACAAATTGAAATTTAAATAATATGAAAATACATCCTGCATACATCCTGACTGGTATACCAAAATAGATCGCACATCATATAAAGTTTTTACTTTTAAACTGACAACAGACTGAAATCTCTCTCAATTCATGACTCTGGGGAATTGTTGGTTAAATAATAATTATTTCTATTTTCTAATCATTATTCCTTATAGCTTTGAGGGTTGGGGAATCATGTTTTTATGTAATTGTCACATTTCATATGATTTTGCTATTCTATGAAAGTCTTCCTATATCCGTTGATTTTTTTATGCAGGCAAATGCATGAACTACGATATACTAGTAGCAAATAAATACTGACCACTCTTATATTTATTTACATCTTTAATGATGCTACACAGCAGACATACCTTGGAACACTCTAAATAATTATATTCCTTGCTATGTTTTTTGATATAAAAATATGATCTCCCAAGAACTGGCTCCGCGATGGGGGGGGGGGGGGGGGTCATGATTTAAACAAATTAGAATCTTTACATGTACAGGTAGCTTTATGCGAGAAACATCTGAAATGATGATAATTGTGACACGAACACAGAAAACGGGTTCTTTCTGTCTGAAAAAGTGACACAACTCACTTCAAAAGACTGTTCTATACACAAGTTTCTGAAAAAGCCAACTGACGGTATAATATGTCTTCTCTAGGAACGATTTTACCTCTTCTTCCATTGACTGTCTTCATTGTTCTCTGTACATTGACGGAATTTTGATACAGTGGATCCTGGAACTTGTCACGTGACACATATTCATAATAGTAGTTCGTAAACTCAGCCTCCTGCTTTTCCCGTCGTAAATACTTCACCATTAAAATCACAATACTTACAGCGTAAAACATCAATACTGTTATGATATAAAACAAAGCTTCTTTGTCATTTTTCATAGGCTGTAGATCCGCCACATTCTTTGTTTCTTGTGACGTCACAGAAATATCACCAAACGGAGTCACATTACTATTGGGGTCGCTGGTATTGAGCGCCAACATGCTGCCACTTGTTGCCTTCACTGTCTTGGAAATGAATTGGATTTCCTCATCTTGAAGACTTCTTTTGAGATGAAGTCCTGCAGAAGAATCCTTGTCAATATTGATTTGACAGATAGATGTTCAACTCATCCAAAACTATATCGAGATTTCTATCTGGTCCAGATCACTGCATATACCTTTTATGAAAACAGATTTTCTACAAATCACTAAAACGCAGGCGGTTCAACAGACTGAAACTTTAATTTTAAAGTCTTTGTGGTTTTCAATCGCCGTCCTCTGGTAATTAACTAGTTTTTTTTTCCTTTCCAGTGATATACGTTTTTATCTTCCGTACAGGAAAGTTGTGTTTTATATAATTTGAATCTGGTTGATTTAAATAGAAATTCCAGGAATTTATACTTTAAGATTAGGATTTAAGAATTTTTAGACTACTCAACATAAAATAAATGCTTAATTTAGCAACAAATTAAAGCATTAAATCGTAACTTACTAAAAAGAACAGCTATCTCTTGTCCTTACCCATGGGAAACCTGTAGTATCCAGCGATTATTTAGCTAATCGATTCAGGGCATTTCCTAATTAATTGCGATACCAATTCATCATCCATGCGCTTCAAAACCTCTGGTTCTCACACTTTCGCGTTATACAACAGAGAACAAAACGTTCGCTCCTAACCAGCGTTTGCGAGCTGGCATCAACAAGTATTATATATCGAACGTGATTTTGAAGTTATAGTGACTAGCCCATTAGCGACTTTTAGTTTTCCCTTCAGCGTTAAGCGCTCTTTCTTTTCTCGCCTCGTGTTAATAAACTCCTGTTCAGTAAGCAAGTAATGGAATAGACTACACAAATACAATTCATCGAGTATATCAGTAGAATCTACGGAAGTAAATACGTCACAAGTAGGTCCTCGCCTTTGAATCGACCTTTCTCCAAAAGTACACTCTCTCGCTTCTTGGCGCACATCAAAAAGTTTCTGTTATAGAGGCATTTTTGATTTAAAAAAAAGGAAAAGAAAAAACGAACAGTTCGATCGATGGACATTTGACGAATTATTCATAAACATTTTATTGTTTTGCTATATAACATGCTAAAATCCATCAAGGGCGACAAGGAGGATTCATACACTTCAAGATATTTGACTGACATCAATAAATCTGAGGCTTTATCATTTCCGTTCTTGGAAAAAAAAGTGAAATTGCAGCAAAAGAGCGTTCAAAATTCAACGAAAAGAACTATCAGTATTTTTTTTAAAACGTAAATCAACATGAGGAAATTTAATACTACAGTACTTAGAGTGATGGAAGTTGGATACGCTCATGCTGTACTAAATAGCTCCGATATAACGGAGGAAATGTGTGATTTCCACACAGATTCAGAATAAATACAAAGCTAGGGTGAGATAAATTTCGATGAATTTCATAGCAATGATTGCAATGAATGATACACGTTTTTCTGTAAGTGTCCAACATCTCCCGGATTTCAGTTTATAATTTGTTAAATATTTTGTTCAGTAAATAAATGTTAAAATCTAACTTTCTTCCACTAAAGATGTTCTTGATTGGTTGAAAAAACTATCCAATAAAACACCGACACACTGTTTGGACTTCTGCAACCACGTTAAAGTAATTCATCGATTTTTTAAAAATGCTTTCAATTCAGCCCAAATTAGAATCTCGTTTTATCGGTTGTTACATTCAGAAAACAAATATCTCCCTCATAAAGTTTCCTGTGCTTCAAAATGTAATATCTGCTTGCCTACCAAAAAAAAAAAGTCATTAATCAGAAATTTATATTTTATTTCCAAATTAATAAAGCTACTTACGAAATAATGATTGGTTTATATGCGTTTCTGTCCGTTTGTGTAGACGCTTGTGGAACCGACTGTGTTTATTCCTGTCTTGTATTATATGTCTCCTTTAACTTACCTAATTTTGAATCGAGTTCTGTATTTTTTTAATTCATAAGATTTGATCTGCAACTGCACATCCAATACACATATTTATACTGTATTTTACTTGCATGGAAGTGATAGAACTCAAATTAGAAAGCAAACATAGAAGCATTCTTGCAGATTTTATTGGTCAACCCTAATTCTTCAGTCTGTGTTGCATTTGAAAACAATGATGTCATGACATCCAAGAAGCTATATCAATATTTTCTAAGCAACTCGATTTACATGTATTTCTTACTCTGTTATTAATCCTTAAAAATGTAATCTTATTATTCAATTCTCTAAGGAAGGGGGAAGGGAGATTACTTAATTAGTAACACCATCCCTTAACTTTTCAGACTGTGTCCTAAAAAGAGATCAGAAATCTTATACAGCTTAAACTTCTATGGTAATCTAACAAAATTGATACAACTCGTGAACACTCAAACGATACGTCTACGGTTTCTCTCCACTTTTGCTGTCAATCTCATATTTACCCTGCACACACAGTGAGGTCAAGGTCACAGCTCATCCAATCAGAATTTAATCTGATCTGTGCAATTCATTTCTCAACATTTATGCAAGTTCCATATCGGTCAATTTCTACTTCATAGCTTGTAGAAGCGCTGCTGGAAGAATCTGTAAGTGACGATGTGTTCCAAAGTTATCTTAACTGCTGTTGTGTTTCCAATATTACCACCGTTTTTCACTGCAATATCAATTAAGCTTCATTGACTAAACAAATTACTGTAGGCCAACACAATAAAATGATTTCTTTGGTTGTTAGTATGGGAATTAATATTGCAGCTGTTGCAGAAAAAAATACATAACCCACTTAGAACCCACCTAAGTGGGTTATGTAAATTTTTTCTGTGATAGCTGCAATGATAATTTCCGACATAACAAACAAAAAATTGTTTTAATGTTTATATTTTTGTCTATATATATGATCATATAAATATGTAGTTAACTTCAATTTCAAGATGACGGGCAAATTCTTAAAGCATGTCACCATCAGGTCAATAAAGTTTCTCAGTTAACATTCAATATGCTTTGTAAATTTCCCAAAATCTTTTTGATGGATTACAGGATCTTTACAGGAAATTTCCCTAACTCTTGTGGTTTATACCTCAGATGACTAGGTACTGGTGCATAACTTGTCTGGCCAGAGCCTCAGACCCACTTGTTTTGTAGATCAAAACCAGGTTATAAGCTAGCTGTCGGGTCAGGTCAAACCGATTCTGTTACAAGAAAAATAAAAAATTATCATATTAAAATTAATAACATACTAATCTCAAAGTTCTTAACATTAAAAAAAAAATATACGGTGCCAACAATTACTGGGGACATAATGTTTCTATGTCTATGTTTTGAAAGACATACAGAAAGATAATTCTTATTGCAAATCACAAAATATGAACAATATTCCTACAAGGTGGGAAAATTTTTTCCTGAAAAAATTTAACATCTATGCTGAATTTTTAAAATATATTAAAATCAAAGGTATTCCTAAAATCAAAATACATGTATTGTTAACAGGAAAAAATTCCTGAATTAATAAAAAAAAAAGTTTCTTGGATGTTAAAAAAAGTTCTGTGTAGGGCCATTTTTAGCCAGTCACTAGGGAGAGGGCAAACAAACAATTTTTTAAAGATGGCCTAAATAAGACAAAAATGATTTCCGCCAACAGCACATGAATGATATCAAGATTGTAATGTAATTTCTGTGTAATATACAAACCTCCTCATCCTCCACCATTGGGGGAAATGTAAGACCTTTTTTGTAGTAATGGACAGCAGCATAGGTCAGTCCTACAAGAATCAAAATACATGTACCGGTATTATAAAGTTGACTGTATACAATTTACAGTGTCAGCATCAGTAAACAGGCACCAAATCAAAAAACAAACAAACAAACCACTTCATTTTCTTCTTTACAAAAATTGAAGAGTTAATGATTTTCTTTCCTTCCTCTTTCATGATAATTTGCAATGAATTCTTTGTAATTTTATCAATTTTTCACTTCAATGACATTGTCTGTAATACTGCATACAGGGAAATTTTTGCCTCCGTTTTAATTTTGCCCCTTTCGTCCTACTCACAGGTGGGCGAATTTAAAACGGGATGAATTCAAAAAACACAGTATAATTTTCTAAAACTGAACTGTGATTGGGCGAATTTAAAACAGGGCAAAATTATTTGCAGATGTGAAAGGGAAAAAATAACACGAAACAAAAATAACCCTGTATACAGTAGATAAGCCTCTATAAACTTCTTCATCACATAACAAATAACAAATATTTTTCCTACCCAGCTGATGTAGGGCTCTCCCGATGTTATAATAAGTCTCCTGGCACTCTCCCCTCAGCTCTTTGTAGTTGTTAAGAAAGGAAAGACCCTAAAAATAAAGCAATGCAATACACACTAGTAAGTTATCACTACAAATAAATGGTCTTTCTGAATACTGTTGCCCTTGTCATATGTGTAAATAGTCTAGGGGCCAGCAGCTAAGCTAACCACAATTTAAACTGCAAGTACATCTAAATATTCATGAATAGAAATTCTAACATTTTTTGTTCCAGAGAAGAATTTTCAAAGAACTCTTTTTTTTTCTTTTGTACAAGTACAAATGTATACTGAATTTAAGGTATTCAATGTATAACGACCATATTTTGTATCTAATAAATGAATGGTCCTATATTTGTAATTATGGTATCATTTTGATAGTGTTGTGAAATAAAAATACTCCACCAAAGAAATTTAAATTTTTTTTATTATTGTCAAATTAATTGCACTTTGAATTTTACATTAAAGTCTATGGGCAATGCATGAGTTATTAGAATATTGTAAAAAGTATTTAGAATATTGTAAAAAGCTCTTGGTGAAAATATGCATACACTCTCTCATTATTAAAATATGAAATAAAATTAATCATTTACCACAGATATTTTGACAAAATTAAAATTTTCTTCTTTGCATCAAGGGCAGATAACTCTTCAAAAACTTTAAAAGTGCAGAATGACCAGCTTCTTATATGTTATCAGTCATGTGAATTTGGTTCATTGCACTTTCATCGTTATCTAGCAATGCAATTTAAACTAGTTTAAAATGATTCAAAATTCTTCAAAATCCCTTCATTATACATTGAATACCTTAAACTACAGTGACCCTACTCTAGCCCTTTATTTCTGCAGTATATAGAAATGTTAACAATTTTATATGTACTTAACATGAAACCATTGATATTCTCAAGTTTTTTTTAAATAGAATATTTTATGTTTGAGAATTTGTACAACCTATTTGCCCAATAATTGCTCTGAATTGAACGAGGTTGAACTGCAGTACAGGTACATGGAGATCCTCTCCCATTACACACATATGTGTAAATTGACACAACTTTCTGTTTTTGAAAAAAAAAATAAATAAATGAAAAATGCTTTTATTCACCACCATGTAAATAAGTGAACCTTCCACTGTAACCCAATTCTACACTAGAGATCATGATTTGACCAATTTTGAATCACCTCTACATAATGATCCTTACACATGAATATGAATTTGACAAATTTCATCACTGTTCTGACTTTTCAAAAGAACTCTCCGATATATTCTTGTGTTAAATTTTAAACTCCATTTGTGACCACATCCTAGCCTCAAGGATCAGGATTTGATAATGAATTTATCCTATAAAATAAAGCTTTAAAGTCTGGTCATGTCTGACTTCTAGTTCTAGTGTAGAAGATTTATTATTAAGCCAACCATATTCATTGTTTTCATCACCTCCCCTAGGAGGGGGTCTTGGTCCTCTCCTAGGTGGGGGCCTTGGTCCTTTATTTGTACAAACAGAATAACCTTAAGTTAACTTAAGAATGCTTTGTTCCATTTTGATAGGAAAAAAAATTGGCCAGATGATTCTGGAGAAAAAATTGAAAATGCGATAAAACATATTACAACATAGAGAAACTTTCTTGTGAGCTAATAACAGAACAGAAACCTACCTGAGTAAACAGGGAATGCTTTTTAGAAGAGAATTTTTGGCCTGCCAGGTGGATGAATGTGAGGCCTATAAGGAGGTTCACAAGGGGGTCTTCAGGACAGTTCCTCAGTACAGCCACATACTCTCCTGGAAAACCCATTATGTAGTACATCAGTCAACGCTTGATAATATCACAGATTACTGTATGTGTAACCAGTATTTAAAAAAGCAGGCTTCATATTTTAGTGGCTTTGACACAGGCAAGGATGAGATAATTCACGAATACTGTTAATAAAACGTTAAATGAATACAATACACGATGCGAAGATCTTTAGTGCTAATTCATGGTTACACCAACCACTCCATACCAAGTTATTGTGCTAAATTTTGAATGCTGTAAACATACTTTTTTCCATGGGTCACACAGGGTTATAATTCCATGGAATCACAATTTCTGTTACATCTGCATGTTGACAATTACAGTGATATCTTACTTTAAGTACACTGGGACAAGTTTAAGCAGAAAATTTGTGCTATGAAAAAGTCTTTCTGTTCAATATCAAATGTTTTTTTTCTTAATATAAGCCTATGTGTTTAAGGAGATCCAACTCCATCTATTACAGTTATATGAACTTATTTGCTTTCATAATCTGGATAAAATCAAACGAGCCTGAAGCAGAAATACAAGATATAACCATTTTATGACAATATGTACATATACAAACATGCTATATGTACCTTTTTTTGCCAATTAAATTTCTCACTCACCAAGAGCATATTTGTAGGTTCCTGATATTGCTGCATTATGGCCATTTAATAATTCAACTGGAATATGATCTGGATTCTGAAAAATCATTTATCTATTAAATGATCTATTAACTAAGAGTTCTACCATGTTTGAAAAGATTTTTATAAAATAAGTTAGGATAGCACACCATTAAACTTTCATAAGTAAAAGTATGACAAAATAATAATAAGAGGTAAGTTTTATCAAGGTTTATAGCATTTAAGTAAAACTAAGTAAAATTCTGTTTAATTTACTTGCATACATATATCTCACTACACAAATTGTGTGTCTAGTTGTAGTAAGAACATTTCATACTAACACTTAAAAGATATCGGAGACAAAAGCGATTATGTCTGTTCTCTGTTGATATCAGTAAAACCTGGTTAAGTAAATTCCACACTTGATTCTTGTTCCCTTCCTACAAAATAACACAATAAATTACTCACAAAATAACACAATAAATTACTCACAAAATAAAACAAATAAATTACTCTCAAAAAGGACACAAAAAAAGAAACGTAACTCAAAAGTTACAGCAGCTGAAGAAAGATTTTTCTTACCTTAATACAAATTTCCCTCATATGACTGAAGGCAAAGTGTTCATTTCTGGTAAGTATACATGCCAGTAAACACATGAACTCTGCTTGCTACGAAAGAAAATGCAAAATAATTTATCCTTCTTGACATTAATTTTTTTTCAGAATGGTAGGGGCGGGGATACTAAATCTATAATATGTGAATATGTCACTTTATGAAAAAGAATTTATTCCATATGGTTGCATACACAAAGCTTTATATTTGTTTTTTTTTTTCATTATTGCTTCATGAAACATGCTAGCATATATACAAAGTTTTGTGTTATATCTTTGTCCTATAATATTTATATTTGAATAGGTTCATTTGATAAGGGTTATCGCTCCCCTTGACTGATGAAGTGAGTAGATTTCAGGTTACCTTGAGTTTCCTGGGTTCAAACAGAAAGTAAGGACAGGACATTCCAAGGGTGGTTACTTCTAGAAGGTCCTCATACTTCTTATTGTTAAACAACATCTCACACAACTATTAACAAATATATAAACAAATAAACATGTACATTTACATGTATCCTAATGGCATTATAGAAAAAAAATCAATTTTTTTCCATTATGGTACTGTAAATCTCTTATTTATTTGTGAAAACTCTATTTTCGCATAATAATCAAGACCAACTGCTTGCGAAAAATTCATTCTCATGTATATATTTTTTAAAAAATTGATTGTATACAAGAATTTGTGTTTTTGTCTCACTTATACATGTAAATACCATATGACTTTCTCGCAAATATAAGGTGTCATGAAAATTTGGTGATCCACAGTATTTAAAATTTCACTGCATATAAGTACATATACATTAAATGAAAAGTATTTAAAATATATCTATATTTCCAGATCCTACCTTTACAAACAAGTCCCATAAATCATCAACAGGTATATCTGACTTCATGCTTTCTAAAAAAAAAATTTTTAAAAAAAGATACCATGGGGTTGATGAGCCATAATACTCACATGTTACCTTATTTAAATTAAAATATACCTGTATACACATGTGTATTTTCTAGTTATGCTTATATGACCATACATACATAAGTAATTATATATGTCCAGTATATGATGGGAACATATTCTTTTACTGTAATTACAGATATTCATCAATAAATTGCGAGAATTAAAGTCTTCTACTTCTTTATCAAAAGGATATTTAAAATGAATTTAATCATTTGTCAAATTAATACATGTATAATCCAATCCAATCCAACTCAATCATGAACTTTAACTTGTGTATAAATTAAGATGCCACTACACCATATAACAAATTGGAATATCATATTGCATGTAACACTTTGTATCCCCAATTGTAGCCAAAATTTGGCCCCTAGGATTGTGATTTGAGTTCATTTGTTATTTACTTTAGTCAGAAATGATCTCCAGATTGACAATTTTTAAGCATTTAAATTAGAGACAGAGGAGGAAAGCACAAACAACTACTTGAATATGAAATCATATCCAATCAAAGAGCAAGACAGATCATATGTATCGTTAATTTTCAACGTATTCCTCTTATTTACCTTTAAATCCTGATTTGAAATGATCGTTAAGAGTCTCTATCCTGGTTTTATTAGATCTGCAACAATACACAGCTGAAATTAAACCAAATACATGCAAATATGATTGTCTTAGCGTACATTATGATTCCATACATTTTAAATTCTATTAATCATGACTTTTTATTAGTGTTGTCAACGAGTACCCGGTTAACTGTCCAATGATGCGAGTATCGGTTAGTAAAACTGCTACTCAGTTACTCGGATAAATAGAATTTTACATATTAATTATATGAATCGGTAGGAAAAATGTAATTTTGTTTATAAATTTCCCTATTTAATTTAATGTTATTTAACTTCAGACTCTACCTAGCGTTTTACAAATATGATCGACTTGTTTTGATTATTTCACAGTTTATCTAATTGGTGGCTTTGATTGCCAAAGGGTATACAGTTTTGAAGAATTGAGTTAATTATAATTATCACACATTAATCTGTGCTACATGATTAAAGAGGATGCCGCCACATGCATTAAAAACGTGGATATATTTCAAAAGAATGGCTGATTTAAAATCCGTAAGGCGTAAAATATTTGAAATGAAATTAACATACACAGGTGGGACAACAAATATGCTAAATCGCCTCAGACTAATCTCTGCAAAAAATTACAACATATGAAGAATATCCCGCAAAACAGCAACCTATTAGGGGGTGTTCGAGAGCAAATTTATTTAGAAGATATTGTGTATTTTTAATTATAAATAAAGCTAATATGCAGTGCACTTGTGTTTTACATGTATAGAAATTGTAACATTGTTACATATATTTCAGTTACCATTGAGTATATACATCGCGAACAAGGATGTTTTGAGGTCTGAAGAAAAACCATCCGAGTAACCAGTTACTCGATCGGAAAAGTAAGCGAGCAACCGGTTACTAAAAATCGTCTGATTTGACAACACTACTTTTTATATTTATTCCCACAATGATTCAGAATGCTTTCAAACTAGTGTAGTAATCAATGTCTAACAGATTCCACAAATATAATCCTACTCAAAAGTAAAGCATAGCTACTTAAAACAGGTAAAGGCACCAAAACAACATACAAATATCTATACCCTGGTACAAATATTTAATGAGGAAACACATATCAATTTCTTTGGGGGGGGGGGGGGGGGGGGGGACTCTGCAGCAGTTTTTCACGTCTACCTCTCAATACATGTAGGTGCACCTACCTTTGATGAAATCTGGGTCGTTCAGATCCTTGAACATGTTAAACAGCAGTAATTTACAAGTATGATGAAATTCATCAAACTTTCCCTGTGCATGCAATAGCATACACTTGTGCATCAGCAGAGATTTCTCCTGAAATTCAACAAATCAATTTATTATTATAAGTTTGAGAGTTTCTGAACAAATTTTAGCCAAAATATTGCACTTGAGGATAGATATCAAAGTAATTAGTACCTGTTTGGTTAATAAAGCATCCGATTCATCTGTAAAGAGAATTAGATCACATCAGTTTGATTACAGCTTATACTGTATACTGTATACACTGTCTAATACATGTACAAGCTTGATGAACAAAACATACACATGTACGTTTTTAAAAAGCAGAGTAGCATTGCTTTGCTTCTCAAATGAAAAATTTTCAATCCTTTAATAACCTACATAGAGTACGAGGGTTGTTAGAAAAGTTCACGGACACGGTGATTTATGGGAAATTCATTAAAGAATGACGTATTCTGTAAACCAACTTTTATTCGCCTGCGAGAAATATTTGCGAGTTTTACGACCTATTTTAACTTGCGAATATGAATCGCTGCGAAACATTTATTTTGCTTTGTATTTGTAGAGAATGTTTCCTCAGTCGCAAAAATTAATCGTCGCAGATTCATTTCAAACTGACGAATCGCTAATAAAAGTTGACGCGAATAATAGTTCGTTTACAGTATTTGATTAAATTATTATCTTTTATTGATACATCAAAAGTTTACAAAAAATCGGGGCTATTTATTAAAGTTTTGAAAAACACACAATGCTTTTTACTTTGCAGTCATAGGATTCAGAGCAACCACTTAAAATTTTAGTGAAGTAAGGTGACGTGACAACCTGATTCCAACCTGTCAATCTTTTACACTTTTGAATATCTTTCAAATCTAGACTATTCATGTCCTTTTCCCATTTAAAAATGCATTACTGAGATAGCAAGATATGTTACTTTTCCTTTTATAAAATGTCATTTTTGGGGTATCTGATGTCAGTGAGATCCTGAAATCACTGTCTACGCACTTTACCGTTCGTGTACGGAAACGATGCAAAATTCATACAAGCAATGTCCAGGCAATAAGTGGGATATCACAGGAGTTGATTTTCAAAAAATTTCAATCATTATATCCTTGAAAAGCTGTTACAAGTTGAACACTTTGGTACTAGGTACATTTAGGCAATTCCCAGCAGTGTCTAAAAACATTTTAGTCTCTTTTGGGCATTTTGGGCAGTTTTAAACAGCTTGCTGCTTCAAGACGTTCAATGACGTTGCCATTCTTGACTCTATTTTTATGCATTGATCATGATTAATTAGCTATAAAACAATCATAACTTCTCCAATTTAATTCAAATTTTTTTCAAATGCTTTTAATAAATATCATAGTAACAGATGAAATATCAGAAATCTTTATGCACTAAAACTGTGCAATTTTATAATTTCACAAAAATGTTATATAATGAAAAAGTGCAAAAATGTGACTTGCTCCAAGAGGCATATTTTATCTTAATGATATAGCTGTATATTTTTTAAAGATCATCGGAAAAGATCAAATTTTTGTATATCTATGGGAAAATACAAATATTTTTTTTTTATTTGCAGTGTAACTGTTCTATTGAATTCATGCTAACAGCATGCGTACAATATTTGTCCGAAAAACTTTTCCAACAACCCTCGTACATCTGTACATATTGCATCAAAGTCCTTTCTCCATGTACTTCTCTTCTAACTTCTAGCAGTGACTTTGTCCTATTTAAGTCTTTTAATGTTCTTACCCCTGTGCAGCGCTCTTAATGCCTCCTCATGTTTCCCTAGATGTTGCTGTAGCGTAGACAGAGACATCCTGGCCCCGATGTGGGAAGGAGCCATCTCAACAACTTTACTGTAGGCCTCCTCTGCCCTCTCTAAATCACCAAGGGAGTTTAAACACTCTGCAAGTCGCAACCACACAGCAGCCTTTAAAAAAAAAGAAACCACCCAGCTGCCTATTACTAAAAAAAATTGCATCCATATAACAGCCTAAAAATACTGGGGTTTGTTTTACAAAAGAACTTACGACTAAGGCCTAAAGCTTCAGGTGATTGTAAAATCTTGCAAATTAATGATTTAATTACAAAATGCCAGCATAAATATATCTTTCTAAATTCTTTTTAGAAAGATTAAAACCCATTTTCAAATTTAACAAAAAAAGGAAAGATATTTGCAAAATTGCATTTTGGTCTTAGTCCTATGTTCTTTTTTTTTAAAACAGGGCCCTGGGACATTACAGCTGCCCTAAAAAAAACACATAGTCAAAACCATCTCAACAGGATAAGGGTTAAATTACTTTGTATTAGCTCTGTGTGAACGCTAAGCGAAGCCAATTCGAATTAAATTTGGACACATGCGTAATGGCAAAATTAAGTCACATGCCACATGTCGGTGGTCAGATATTGGGTACTTATGCTATTTTTTAGTGAAAAACAAAGGAAAATTATGTTAATCACTGAAATGTGTACAGACACTATGACAGTATGTCAAATCTGATCTGCTCTGAACAATGCAACATGATTTGCAAATGACATCATAATAACATTACTGAATAGTCTTACTGTAGAAATAAAATTTCAATTTGCATTAGTTTACTTCACATTAGCTGTCGTGTGAACGCAATTTAATTTGCATTAGTTTAATTCACATCATTTTACTTTGCATTAATTTACTGCAAATTAAACTCTCCGTGTGAACAGGGCATAGGTTTAATATCCAGTATGTACATATACATATATGTTGTGCATGTAGTTGTATGTTATACATTTACACACTTACCAGATTATAATTTTCTGAGCAGACCAATCTCTGTAGAATGGGTTTTGCTTCTGCGTAATAGCCCTGGTCAATGTAGGCTTCTGCGACGTCTAAATATAGATCTCCTACGTCCTCCACTTCCTCTTCAAACAATGGAGTGACAACAACCTACAGGTATAAACATTAGCAATGTTACAACAACCTATATGTAGAAATGTTCCATCACTTCCATGGTGAAATCGTCTAACAATAGAGTCACAACAACCTACACATATAAATGTTACATTTGTAGCATTGTTCCATGGTGAAATTGTCTAAATGACACATCCCCATTCTTAGTACTTGTACAATATATATCCATCACTTTAATTTTTGGACTTCTATTATAGAAAAAATTTTCAGAACATTTTCAAAAGCAAAATTTTGTTTGGACACCACATCATAATGATCACAACCTTCTATAAGATACAAGTTAGTTTTCGAATGATATTGCTTAAAGAAAGAAATTTCCCACTATAAATTTTAAATAACCAAACTAGAAGACATGAAAGGAAATTTGTCTGACACTGAATATGAACATAATGAACAGTACATTTTTACCTCACATCATATTATTTTTACAGAACTGATATACTGTCAGTGTTAAAATATATTACCTGTGCCATACATCATTTTATTTTTACAGAACTGATACACTGTAAGTGTTGAGATATATTACCTGTGCCACACATCCTATTATTTTCACAGAACTGATATACATGTATTGTAAGTGTTGAGATATATTACCTGTGCCACACATCATATTATTTTTACAGAACTGATATATTGTTGAGATATATTACCTGTGCCAATGTATCCAGTTTGTTCTGTATCAGACATATTCCAAGTTTAACCCTCAGGTCAATGGGAAGTAGTTCTGGTATACTTACTCTAAATAAAAGGGGTACGTTTGTTAGATAACCTCTCTTAACATTAATATTGATACTTCAGACTGATAAAAACTATTATTCAACACCCCCCCCCCCCCCCCCCCCATCCCTACCCCTTTCCACTGTTAAAAATTTATATGAATTTCACAAAGGTTTTTTTTTAAACTAGTTATTTAAAATAAAATACAATCTTACGAGGCAATTTGGACAGCACCATTTTCTATTAGTGAGACATTAAGAGCAACCTCCCTGCTCCATTCTCTATCAATGTTTAAATCAAACACAACACCACAGTGGTTCACCAGCACCTGATCAGTGTAACAATCAAAAACAAAAAAACTTTCAATACAGTTAGAAAATGCAAATGGGGACTGTAAATGTAAAAACATTTGCATGGGAGCAATGTACATCAAAAGTACTCTTTCATATTTTACATGTTTAATATTAACATTTTTGCCTCCTTTATATCTCAAAAAGGAAAAAATCATATGATAATTTAATAGGGAAAATGCATAAAAAATAATCTTTAAAAAAGTATACATACATGTATTAATATAAATTATAACCTTGAACACTGTACTTTAACAGTGTGTTTAAACAATTACAGTTAAATCTATAAAATTCACACATTTCTAAAAATGTACCTCTATTGCTTGAAGAAACATCTTGTGTGCAATCAAGAGCTCCATAAATAAATTCACATCTAAAATAAACAATATCTGCAAGGCTTCAATTACATTCAAGACATGGCATTATCTACCAGTAGGGTACTGGTATACATTTTTTTTTCTGATGGCAAATTTTGTCTATTGTCTGAGGAGTAACTGAGGAGTAACTTGGATTTGTTTTGCTTTTATTTTTTTTAATTTTTTTTTTAAGTTTTTAAATTATGTAAAGTACTGTGAACTTTTCTGCTTTATTTCTTGAAACATTGACACAAATTGTGTGTAATTCAGAACCTACTAAAGACAGAAAACTCACCCTCTGCTGCAACACTTTCTGAGTTGGCTTCAAATGCATTCTTCATGGTTTCCATTGCTGACACTTTATCATCATCCTCATAATAATGCTGAAAATTTTAGGATTCAAACTGATATACATATTCACATACAATACATATATGTTATACATTGTACAATGTACAATATTAATGTTCGTCAAGTGTAGTTTAGATCAATGTTCTTCATAAAAATCTTTTATTAATCATTCTGTTATGAAATATTTTGCTGCATGCAGTTTCTATTTTCATAGTTTTTGTTGCAGATTGAAACAATAAATTTCTGACCTGTGTTTGACTTAACCTATATAATGAACAGATAACTTTTAAAAATTTAGAGAGAGTGAAATTAACAAGAGGCTCATGGGCCAAAATGCTCACCTGAGTCACAATGACCTTACTGTTCTACATCAAATTTTTTCCAACATATTCCTATTTAAAACTTTGATCACTATTGTGGCCCCATCCTATTCCTGGGGGGTCATGATTTAAAAAAAAAAACAAACATGAATTTGATCTACATTACATGAGGATGCTTCCATATCAATATGACTAATCTGTTATCATGACCTTGATTTTCTTGATAAGAAAATTTTAAATGATTATTCCTATGTAAAAATTTTGATCACCTATTGTGGCTCCACCCTATCACACAAGGGCTATGGTTTGAACAAACTTGACGCTACACTATATGAGGATGCTTACATATTGATATGACTAATCATGCCTCTGCTGTTCTTGAGAAGAAGAAATTTAAGATTTTTTCCTGTGTATTTTTATGTAAAACTTTAATCATCCAATGTGGCCCCACCCTACCCCGGGGGTCATGATTTGAACAAATCAAAATCTACATTATATAATGAAGCTTTCACATAAGTTTCAACTTTTCTTGCCTAGTGGTTTTAGAGAAGATTTTTTGAAAGATTCCATTAAATTTTCACTAATTCTTAATTATCTCTCCTTAAGAGAAGGTATGGTCCTTCATTTGAATAAATGTGAAATACCTTCACCCAAAGATGCTTTGTGTCAAGTTTAGTTAAAATTGACTCTGTGGTTCTGGAGAAGATGAAATTGTGAAAAGTTTACAATGACAACAACAACAACAGACAATGGACAAATTTTGATCAGAAAAGTTCATTTAAGCCTTTGGTTCAGGTGAGCTTAAAAGTAAGAAAAAAAAATTGTTTTGACATTTAAAGTTTAAAAGTAACCATGACTGAAATGAAACTGTAAAAGTAATGCACCCATTATTTAGCCCTACCTTTGTAATTGTTCTAGCAATTTCCATGTACCGATCCCCATCATTAGGGGGAGCAATTTTCATCATGGCTTTGTAACCCTCTAAGGCCTTCTTCTTTTCCCCTAACTCCTCATATAACTGACTTCTACTCCAGTATATGTCAATGTTAGTGGGATCCTGGGGATCAGCTCGTATTGCTACAAGATCAAAAGTATGTCATATAAAGGCTTGATATGATGTAAATACAAATGTTTTATAGAGGGACCCAATGTGGAGCTTATACATGTATCATTCATCCTAACTTCAGTCAATTTGAAGTGAGAAATGCAATTCATTTGAGGAGGAAATAGTCTTGCTTTGGAGTTGACACAAATGGACAAAAATAAGATGAATAGAACCCCATCCTACTTTCTTTAATGGAAGTTCATCTAAATAAAAATGCTATAGACAATGTTAATGCACTGACAGAGAATAACCACCAAAAATAACTAGAACTGTTCTAATAGGACTAATACCGCTGCCGGAAAACCAAAAAAGAGCTCACTTTAAAATAACTTAAAAAAGAACTCTGCCATCTTTCTAAATCTTTCTTAATCTTGTGGAAATTTTAAAATTGAATGGAGGTTGTAACACCTCTGAGTACAAAAATCATGCATAGTCCAAACATAAAAATTTCATGGCCTAAAGAACATTTAACTTCTCAGTTGGGTGAATTTGACTTTATGCAAACAATTTTTGCATAGAATCATGACATGGTCACATGCCACATATGACATGACCTTGTCATAATGACCTTTGATCAGGGTCATGTCATATCCTATGGTCATTATCAACCCTTAGGGCAATATGATCTTTGGAAATTATTTCATAATAAAAGTATGTAATGGATAACAATTTCATATTTCAAACCTTGTGACCTTGACATTGTCCAAATGACCATGGTATAGGGTTGTTACACACTCTTTCGTCACAAACAACCTTTGTATTCAGATTGATCAGCAAACAGACAGATGGGGTGATTCCAGTATAATACTGTACAAATTTGTTGGAACTTTCCTCTGAAATTTAATATTATTTAAATAAGAGCTCTCAAAATAAGCTGATATTTTTACAAAGTCGCAGTACCTTTACTATAACAAATGACAGCCTGCGATTTATCCTCCAGTTCCAAACTCAACTCAGCCAACCTTATCCAGCTGTCACGGTCCACTGGGTTCAAGTACGCTGCTATTAAACTATACTGAAAGTGAAACCACCAACATTTACATAAATGTTAGTTAAAGTAAATCTGTATTTTTAACCTTCATAGAAAATTAACTTTTTCTCCCTTCAAAATTGTAGTTGATAAAGTTAAAAAAAAAAATAACTGAAAACCTGCAGAGATTTCTTGAGATCCCCTTGATCTTCGTAAATCATGCCTAGTGTCTGAAAAGGCAGGTGTGCCTCTGGAGCTAGAGTTACATGTAAATAACAGATCTGTATTAAATCTTCATAAATCATGTCTAGTGTCTGAAAAGGCAGGCCTGCCTCTGGACTGAGGGTTAAAATATCAAATCTTTATTAAACTTAAAATTCTGAATGCTCCCTTTGGTAAATTCTTGTGTTGTAAAACATAAATTTTATAAAACTGCCTAACTTTGCTTCATCTTTTTTGACAATGAACTGTTCTAAATAACCCTGATAACTTTAAAGAAGTAACATGTAATCTTAAGGAATCTTGAATTTTTAGTATTATATAAACATGAAAGCATTTTTCACTTTCAGGGTTTTTAAATGACTTGAAGTCCTGCCAATTTATAACAAACTTCTAGTTAAAAGCTGCTAAGATTGAGCTTTATAGAAACATATTATATTCTCCAAATTTGGGGGGAGGGAGTTAACATTACATGTACAGTGTTTCAAAATTGTTAACAAATTTTTCAGGAAATAAAATACATTTGTTAGGTTTCAAATACATTGTACGCTGAACAAAGATAGTACCCATCCTTATGATGTCCAGACAAATTGAAATGGCTTTCTCGTGATCTCCTTTTGCGTAGGTCAGGTTAGCTTCTCCCATGAGCCCTTCCAGATGTGCTGGTAAATCACTATATTTCTAGAATAAACAAAATATATCAAAGGCGGGCCTATTAATTAACTTGAATGGGAAATTTTCATTTCGAGATGTCTTAAGGATGTACAACACACCTACCCCAAAAATTTCCTGTCGTTTAATTTTCGCTATTTTTGTATATCTTATACATGACAATATCTGCTATGTGTATGTACATTTTGGTCAAAATCGTTCAAGCCGAATTTGAACAGGAAGTTCCTAAAGTTACCCCCCTTTGGCTGATCACGAGTACAAAAAAAATTCAACAAACTAACTATAAAATCCCTTATTTTAAAATATTTGAGGTTAGCCTAGCTGTCAAAATTTGCTGAATCGTTCGTTTAACTATTAAACACACAAACAAAGTGAATTTGTAAAGGTACACTTCGAGAAAAACGATTTTGAAGAATTTAAACTGAAAAACTATGGTTCATTTTTGCATTGAAAAATGCGTGATTTTCAAATGAAATATTTTTTTATGAAAAAATCTGTCGTTTAATTTTGAAAAAAATTATTACTTCTTGTAACTGATGATCAAAATGTTCTTGATAATTTTTTGAAAATTTTTTAAACAACGCGTTTTGAATTTATAGCGGAAAATCTACCCCCCCTCTCTCCGTAAGTTACATTTCTCACAGCGTCTTTCAGACTTGGGACGAAAACAATGCTATGATTCTACAAATACAAATAAAAATTCCTATAGCTGGAAAGAATATTTTACTTAAAAAATGTAATGTACATTATATTTATCACAAATATAAAACTTTACATCTGCATTTAAATGAAGATGAATAAGCAATTTCTTCAATTTTAAAACCCCCCCCCCCCCCTCCATTCTTCTCTGCAATGCAGTATCTTGGAAAAAAAAAAACATCGGTTACGTCTGCATGATAAATATAATTGGCATATTGAACTCCTAAAGTAATGTCCTTTATTCGTGTATACAGATTAGATATTGACTATATACTAATATTTTTTTATTCTAAGTACTATTTTTTTTTTTTTGTATTTATATTTAGTAAAACCATTTTTCTAAGGATTTTATGACCACGTGTCCGGTTTGGAGTTCATGCACACAGGTGCAGTTTCAAACCTTTATATGACCTACTTGCATTGAATATTATTTTTTAAGTGAACCAACAGTGGTGTATGTACAACTCTCTTGTGATGAAAATGGAATATATGTACATTTAGGTTTTAAATTATTTCTGTTTTCAAACGAGAGGGGTGCCCCCACCCCCCTCGGATATTGTATCCTCCTGTTGTTTCAATGAATGGAATGGAAATGATGTATTTGTCCATGTTAACTTCAATCGTACCAAATTGTAAATTATTTATCAGTATTAAAATTTTTCATGTTAATCATCTACAATGGTATCATCTACATTGGTATCAATCGTTTTGTTTTTATTCGAGGAAATGCGAACTGATACTGTTTACAGTAAAAGATTTTCTCAGTGGGATGCAACCGTTGTATTAATTTCAGTAAATAATTTTAAACTGTTGATACTTACTTTAATTTGTATAAACTTTGGCTTTTAGTTCTTGTGTTCCTTGCAACACACTGTAAAATCTTTAATATATCTGTGTATTTGTGAGGGAAAAAACTCATAATTCTTCGGAAAACAGGAGGAATAACTCAGCTAAGGGGAGGAAAGACATTTTTAGAGTTGTTTCTCTTTGACTGACCTTCTGAAAACGGTTACTCTTTTTCATTTTTTTTTTCAAAGAAAAGAAAAGAAAGAAAATGTTTATTTTCGTAATATGATAATATTTAAACATACCGGTAATATTTATTCTCAATGTTATGCGGCCGATTGTAACGGGAAAAAGCAATGTAGAGTACCATTAACATTTTTAGATTAAAAAAATGCCTTAGTGTATATCATAAATACAATATTAAAGAATTAATTAACTAAATTTAAATTAAAGAAGTTTAGGGAACCTGTCCTTTTTTTCTTTTTTAATGGAGGGGGGGGGGGATTTATTGCAATTGCGCAAATGATCAAGGATAGGATTTGGTATTCCTAAAGAAACCACAATAAAAAAAATCTATTCTATTTTTTTTTTTTACATTAATTACATCAGGATCGTATCGCTCGTCATTTTGACGCTTCGTAATTAACGTCAAATTTAACGTTATGTTAAACATTTTATTGAAATCGCAAGAGTTATCTCCCCCAGTGTGTTGTACGTCTTTAAGTCAATATGGTTGTTAAAATCTTACCTTTTTCTTTTTACCTGCAATAAAAAGACAAAAATCTCTTTTAGTAAGTATAACAAAATTTGATTAAAAAATTATGTAGAACTAAAGCAATTTTTCTTTGATAGAGCTTTTCAATATTTCATTTATAATACCTTAATGAGTTGTAGACACACCACATCATCAATACATGTATCAAAATTAAGACATGATCAGTAAAACATGAACTTTTTGAATTTTACAAGCAATGTAAGGTTATTGCTGCAGCAATATACAGTTGAACTTCAGTATCTTGAACACTGATATCTCGAATACCATGGATATGTCAAAATGATTTGGAAGTCTTAATATATTTTACCCTCAATATCACAAATCTTCGGATATCTCAAAGTTTTTGCTCGGTTCTATCGAGTTCGAGATAGTGAGGTTTGACTGTATGTCTTCAACAGACTCAATCTTGACAGTGGTTACACTCACAGAAGCTGATAAGATACAATAAATTTCTTCCTAAGAATATGCAATAAGCTACTTTAATTATAAAGTACATGTGATCCTGAGGTGAGTTATAAAGAAATGTTCCTCCTCCCCATCACCTTAAAGGTAAACAACTTCACAGAAACAAAGTCACTGGAAGACAGATAAATGGACCCCCCCCCCCTTCCTTAAATCTCCACACTAGATAGGTAAATAGTAAAATAAGTATACACACGAGTTTTCTTTTTTGGAGACTTTTCATCAGTGTCCTCTGATTGACTGGTGCTCTCTACTGGTTTTTCCTCCTGTGTTTCCTGTTTTGGCATGACAACATCTGTCACATGGATTGTCTGTATGACATTATCTAGGTCAACAGGAACATCTTGATCACCAGATTCCATCAGTTCACTGAACTCAGCAAAACTGATCTTTCCTGAAACAACCAACAAAATTTGTTCAGTATATAAAAACCCTTGTAAATCAAATAAAATGTAACAAAATATCAGTTTATGTACAAAAAATTAATCGGCATAATTTCAAATACTTACACCATAATTATTATTTGTTTGTTTTTTTCTAATTAATAAATCTTACTTAAGTAAATATGTTAACTCATTTTTACAATATTTTTGAGTTTCTAGAAAAGCTCTATGTAATTTGGCGGAATAAAATCATTTTCTGTTCATTGAGTAACTGTAACCATGGTAACCTGTCAGGTATTGTAATGTTGGTTCTATTCCTGGCATACTGAAATTGGTTTCTTGGCCATCATTGGCCTGCACAAACTGATAACTGGAGGGTCCTGGTTCTGTCACTACACTGAGGTTCTGCAGTTCATCAACTGTTGTCATTTCTATAAACTGACCAGCTTCATCTCTAGGCTGGTCAGATGATATCGTTGCCAGCAGCCCTAAGTTGGCTAATTGATCAGCTGGTACCTCTAAAAACTGTACATTCTGGAATGGTCAAATGATGATATGTATGAATACTAATAAAATTATAATGATATACTGTTATATCAGGGCTCTTTGATTCTTTAAAATTGGAGTTCATATAGAATCCAAATTGCTGTGTTCTCTCCATTTGGATATATACACTTAGTTTTTTGATGCCCCTATATTAGAGGTTAAAAAGTTATCTATATTAGATGTAACTTAAACAGGTCTAGTCCAAAGACTATTTCTACCTACGTAGCTATTAATAGCTACGTAGGTATTTAAACCTACCCAAAGTAGCTATTTTTACCTACTTTTTGCATTACTTGCATTTTGTGGCCAAACGGCCGAACGGCGCAACATGGTGAGTACCAAATTTCTTGATGTGGTCACACTGATGATGAATACAACAACATTTTGGCCAAAAAATGATTACTTCGTAAATTAACAATTTTGCATTCAATACTATGCAAAATTGTTAATTTAAGAAGTAATCATCTTTTGGCCAAAATTTTGTTGTATTCATCATCAGTGTGACTGTATCAAGAAATTTGGTACTCACCATGTTGCGCTGTTCCGCCACAAAATGCAAGTAATGCAAACAGTAGGTAAAATTAGCTACTTTGGGTAGGTTTAAATACCTACGTAGCTATTAATAGCTACGTAGGTAGAAATAGTCTTTGGACTGGACCTGTTAAAATACAAAGTTTAGCAAGACAAACAATTGGTTACAACAAAATTTTATCTTAAGGTATGTCAGTAAAACTCAGGCCTGACCTCTTATCTATTTTGTAGAAGAAGAGTATTCAGTTCAATGGCTTAATCAAAATATTTTACATTGCTTATTTCAGAGCTTCATGTATGATCAGAAAATACCTCTGCCTGAAAGATGTCTGCACTTATATTGAATTCATTGTTGTCAGTTGATTGACCAGCAGTCTCAATGATAGTATATGTCGTTAAAGGTTCTCCAGATATTTGTGGGACACCATCATCAAAATTTTCTATAGAAATATGAATGGGTTTTCTTTCATCGCCCGCCATATTTACATCTCACATGCGGAACATCGAAAAGGTTCCCTGGATTCTAATGAAAAGTCAAGAGAACATTTTTTAATGTTCTTGACCCTTGCTTTAGTAATTCGTTCATTGGTTATTCGCTTAGCATGTGCGCCGCTTCAGCAAGAAATTTAGTTTCTTTTCTTCTTGTTTACGCTGATTTAATCACGTCATTAACTGATGACCAGAAAATAAAGATGACTTCAGCCAGATTTCTGTAGCTTGTGGAATGAGATCTCGATTTTCAACACAAAACATTACAAAAGAAATCCCTGAAACAAAATTGAATCTGCATCACATGGAGACGTCGTTAACATACATGTATTTATTTTTAGTAATCATAGTTCTGTTGCTGTGTTAGGGTTTATCAAGGGATTTTCCTTTTTTTCATTTTGATCTACCTTGAAATGCTTATACATGTACATAAAAAATTGACATCTGCAGGTAGCCCTGTCGTTGTTTATGATTTTATATAGTTATAAGTTTCATCACTGTTTAAAAATGATTCTTTAGAACATGAATGACACATAATACTGTAAAAATTATCTCCCCTTGGTGAAGGACATGAACATAAACTTGAATGCCCATCGCCCAAAGAGGCCCAATGGTTCTTAATACAAAGTGAAAGCTATATACATGTATATAAGGTTGTGATGACACACAACAGACAGACAGACGGATACGCCAGGCATTGTTCGATTATAGAGAGAGATCGAGAGAGGATCCTTTTGCTTATGGAAATAAAAAAAGAAAGCGAAGTTTAAAGAAAGCATAATTATAACATTAGAGATTAGGTGTAGTTCGATGGACATGTTTTCGAAAAGGAGTGGGGGTGGGGGCAAAATTTGAAACGCAAAAAAAAAATCTAATCCATGCTATCAGTCCAAAAAATTGCTTCAACAAACGATTTATATATTTTTAAAAAATCCCATCCAGCTTGAACTGCATGTAGGAATTCTTATAAAATGTTTGATATCTTTTACTGATTGTATAGTAAGGATTAGACGAACGTGTCACATAAAAAATAATAATACATGTAAAGGCGAGTCGAAAAGGCCAGGGAGTCTTCAGAAGGGGGGTATACATTAAATTGAATACATATTCTGATGACCAAGACATTTTCATTAATCAAGGACCGAGAGCCTAAATTTAATCGTTGTCGGTCTTTTTTTTTTTTTGGCAAGGTAGATAAGAATTCAAACTTAGATCAACGAAAATATTGGGATGGGGTGGGGGTGGGGATTAGTGCGAAAAGGAAATGCCACACTCAAGTCGAAATCCTTCAATGGTGGCACTAAAGAATATTTTGTAGATTTATATATATATATATATATATATATATATATATATATATATATATATATATATATATATATATATATATATATATATATATATATATATATATATATATATATATATATATATATATATATATATATATATATATATATCTTCCACAAATAATTTCCAGACATTAAAATTTTAGGAGATTTCTCTGTAAAATAGGTTTACTGTACCTGTTTACATCTTACAATACATTAGGTAAAGTAAAATATTTATTTTTTAAAAGACTTCAAAGAGAACCAATTCAAAACTTATAAAACTAAAAAACTTAATTTTAAACTTGAGGACCACTTATACTCTACAATAATTATAATTATTATAAAGGAACATCAAATACTGTTACATGTATGTTGTCAAAGCAAAAACTCTATATAATGCTATGATGCAAAACCGTAGAACCACAAAGCAAACAACTTACAAAGTGATATCTATAAATATTAAATCAGGTATAGACTATTTTATTTGATGAAATGATATCGATAGATAGACAGATTGTCTTCCGAATGGCTAATAATAACAAATGCAAATAACTGCGGAAACACCATAAACCCTATGTTACTCAATGTAAACAACACAGATTTTATCCAAAGGTCTGTACGCTCTCAGAAATTAGAAGCTAATATTATAGAGGCATTGTTTATAACATAGATTTTAACTAGTTTACGAGTTTACATCATCAGTACGTATTGTTGATTTAAAAATATACATGTACATGTGTAGTTTTAATATATTTCACATTCAAGGCATGTAATTTATAAAACTAATATCAAAATATCTACTTGTGTGATTAAAAACGTGTACAATACAAAATATTTTTATCACCCCACCCACCCACCCCCGAAAAAAGGACAAAAAGCGACAAAGATTTGAAGTGAGTCAGCGCATGACAATTGTTTAAAAAACCAAACAATTGCATGGAGGGTCCGAAACGCTCGCCTGTATCGCTACCAAAGTGGGATCACAATTATCTTGAAAAAAAGTAGAGTAAAATCAAAGGCATGAAAGTACTCATAGTGCAAAATAAAGTAATTAGTTACTCATCACCAAATATTAAATTATAAATTACAAAAGCCAAACTTTAGAAGTGGTTCCGACTATTTAACTTTTTGAACCAACATTTTACCCAGAATAAATACGGATCTGGCATAGCTAACTACTTTCCTTAATATGGCTACCGCAGAGGAAGGGTTTTATTAGTGTTTCATTGGCTCAGTGCAGCGTGAAATCTTTCACCTCTGTTGGTAGGCGCCATTAACAGAAATGATTAACATGATTCAAATGCATTTGAAAACTACAGATTCATAAAACTTTATACAGCGCATGCTATGTAAATCATATCAGCAGTTTGGTATTGGTTATGTTTACGATGGTAAAATACTATTAATTTCATCTGGACTAACTGTGTGCTTTGATTGTTTTGTTAGATATTCATTTATTTCTACTCTAGTTCTACCGATCAATGTGTTTCCGTGTACTGGGAAAAGATCTCCATATCCCGGAATCAGAATCAACGCCACCTGCCTCGCCAGCTACAGAATTCCGCCACCCCATTTCAAGTGGTCCAAGGGAGTGGATGGAACTGATCAAATACATACTACTATATACATCCAACGGCAGATCTAGCGGTAAGTTTGGCTTTAATAAATAGCCCTGGGTTTGAAATAGCCTTTAGTTAAGGCGGTATCCATCATTTAAATAAGAACTTGTAATTCTAACTTTCTACACCATTTATAGAGAATAAATATAAATTCTCGTAACATTAATCAAACTGTTACAAAGCCCCTTTTTGGATATGGAGACCCAGCGAGCACAATGACATTGGTTCTAAATAGTAATGACAAGAATTAAGAAATCAGGTGCGAGACCGCTTATGACGGTTGAGAGAGAGAGAGAGAGAGAGAGAGAGAGAGAGAGAGATAGTTATAAATCATATATAATTATTTTGATAATATATCTAATATCTAAGATAAAGATTTCTAAGTCTATCGCTAAAAGCTTAGGGATTGCTTGCTGTTGTTTGTTGTTTGCAGTCTTGACTTCAAGGGTCTACAGTACCCTGTGCCAGTAAAAGGCTGTGTGAACATCTACGATTCATAATATATGTTACATTTTGAATCTTCAATTTAACAAACACAAGAAAAAGATACAGACAAGTGATTTTATCAATTTGATGCATGTATCCATAAGATTCATTATGTACAATTACCAACTAAAATATTAAACAATAGACCAAATCTTAAACATTAATGAAAATCAGCGAAATTTCTAAATTAGGTCATTTTTAATACGTTGAATTTCACAACGTCAAAAGCCCACATTAAATGTTCTTAATGATCTCCTCTTTTTCAACTACAAATGAAAGTTGCTTCTCGAGATTTGTATAACCTTGTCACTCATTTCTGCTTATACACTCCTCATTTGAAGGTTTATGTTTCTTTTGAGCTCATTCAGTATCCGCGGTCTAAGATTGTAGACCCTATTCCTAAGGAACCCCTACAGAAAAGGCCTAAAAATTGAGATTGGCGAATGCAGAGATCAAATTCTTTTCTTGGCTTATTGCATTATTGAAAATTTTTTTACGCTGATAACTTCATATCATAGTTCAAAGTTCAATATATGCTGGAAATGCTGATATTGCCAGTATCAATTTTCTGAAAGCATCCATCTGAGACTTTTCTCAGGAGTTTGCTAAACTATCTAAGAGTCTCCACTTCACCAATTAAATCTTCGGTTCTTAAAGTCCTTAGGCTTTCTGGAGTACCGTGTCATTTATCGCATAATGCCCGTCCCTGTCCTTTAACCTTGTTACTAGCCTTCTGATAAGCATCCTCAAATCTTCTATTCTTTTGGAATATTTCCTTTTATCACCATCTGAATGAATGAATATTGGAGACACGTATTGAAAAAAAAGCTTTACAATTCAGCAATATGTTGATAAGTTTAGTCCATTTTGGAAAATATTCAAATAATGACATCGGTGTTTATGTCACAATTAATCATTGTAATACCATGATTTCCTTGACTTTTTCACATGGAACAAAAATGCAGGATTTGTTGTTTAAAATGGTGTATAGTTTGTAATAGATACATAATAGGTAAGAAAAATAATTAGATTTAAAAATGTAACATGTAACATATATTATGAAACACCCTCTGCATTCGCCAATCTCAATTTTTAGGCCTTTTCTGTAGGGGTTCCCTAGGAATAGGATCATTTTCTTAGAAAAAAAATTTTGATCTATTACTTAGACAATTTTTTTTTTGAGTTATCTGAAGTAAAAATAGATTCCCTTAAATGTCTTAAAAGAATACACCAGCGAATGAAGTGTATAAAATTAATGATAATCATATTAAGAGAACCTGTTAAAATTCAGTGAATTCTAGTCGAAGGATAGAGAACAACAAAAATAAGTGTCTTTCTAAGTCACTTCAAATGACTGATTTTGACAAAAGATGTTTGGTGTAATTTCATTACATTTGTTTTCTATGAGATTATTTATATCATATGCTGTTTATATGCCTATTGTATATTGTTCAATAAATGTAAAACAATTTTTTCCTGAAATTTTATCTTTTTTTAAGTTAATCTGCATGTATTTCTTCAGCCTCATCCTTCTGTCTCGGACAAAATGTTCATCATTTTCGCCCTTTCTCCGAGTTTGCATGTTTATATGTTTGGGTATATTACATTTCGGGGGATGGAATGGAAAATTTTGGTTTCAGCAGTTAAGTAATTGCTTAATTAAATATTGCTTATATAATGAGTTCAAAAGATGATAAGAACAATCAACATGAACTAAATGAAATGTACGGACAGAATCCTTTAATTAATATTCAGTGTTAATTATAAGAGTTAACTCCCCTTGAAAAATGTGTAAAATATTACTTTCTCTTAAATTGACCTGTGACTTGTGGATTTTAATTCATCAAATTAGATAGAACATTTTTGTGGATCTCTTCACCAAATGTTTTTTTCAAATATTTTGTTTCTTTATAATTTATTTATGAAAATTATGCTTTTCCCACAATCGGTTACATTTACTAATACAAGTGAGGTCAAAGTTAGATATACATACATGTGTATATATGAACTTTCATTTATAATTAACACAAAACCTTTACATTTCAAAATTCGTTGAAACTTTCTTCCAAAGAGCTAATTTAACTGTATCTAATTACATATATAAATCAATGTTACTCAATACAAACAGTGCGATTTATTGAAGTTAAGAATAAAGTTCGCAGAAATTAGAAGCTAATTACAAAGGACTTATGTATCACAAAAATGCTAAATAGCTGTCTTACCGAATTTAGCCGCCACATTTAATACATCTGGGGACATGGATACTGGGGTATAATAATTGGGGGGACAGTGACAATGTCACCAAGGAAACGAGGATCTTATATATATTCAAGGGTTGAGATTTCTCGGCCATTCTGAGATCGGGCATTACATTTATACCACATTTGGACGAGAACAAGATCTAGTGAAAATGATTGGGAGTTTGGTACTTGTAGCCTCGCTGATTGGCCGTAAGTTTTAATTCATATTATTTCCAATGAGAGCAAGTACAGTAAAAATGTCAATGCCTTATACCCTATGGACTTAGAAAATTGTTATTTTCAAGGGAAGCATGAATAAAACTTTGATAAAGAAATAAATTCGATATATGTCAAAAACATTATTTCTTTCCCCTATTTTAAATACTGACACGTATTAATTTGAATGAAAATCGAACATATTTTTTTTCTAAGTGAGCCAGTGTGTGACATTTGTTATTGAACCATATAACACGTCTGCACCTATTGGAGGGACCGGAACGCTCGCCTGTATCGCTACTAACCTAGGATCAGACAGTGTGTCGTGGAAAAGGGTAACTTCAGTCATTTTTTTTATTAATCAAAATATTAAAAAAAAACATTAAGCGGTGAGCTAGAGCAAGAGTTGCATGCACAATAGCAAGCATATAATCAAAGGATTGAAGGTACTTGTAACATTGCAACATTGATATAAATTCAATACCGGATATATCTTGTACAACAGAAGCAAAGTTCCGGAAATGGTTACGATTCTCTGACTTTTGGAACCAACATTGTGACATCCATTCAGAATAAATATGCAGTATCCGGTACGGCTAACCTGACAATCCAGAACGTGGCTGCCTCGGACGAGGGACTTTATCAGTGTGCTATTGGGTCTACTGTACGTGAGATCTCCTTCACACCTGTCAGTAAGTACCGCTTAATATATTCAGTAGCTATAAGGAGAAATAGTCAGTCAGTAATTACCAATTTATATTCAGTACAAGGAAACATAGTTCGTAAATATTTATATTTTTGTACTTTATATGGATGGTATTTGTTATGACTATATACATTTATTACTCTCAGAATGACATTTTAATTAATTTTCACATGTTCATCTGAACATCATGCATCATGTCATGGTGATCACAGAGAATTCTAGTTGTTACATATTCTATGATTATTTTCTATCGAGAAATTTCTCTTAATGGATTTGATTTTAACATATGTACAGTCTGTATAATATATCTGACTTGTGTTTTAGATATTTTATCTTGTTATAGATGAATTGATATGTAAGTGTGAGGTTAATCCTACATGTACTAGTCTTAGTATTTCTTTGTTTTTCCTTACTAGTTCTACCGACCAATGTTTCCGTGTACTGGGAAAACTCCCCATATGCTGGAAACAGAGTCAACATCACCTGCCTTGCCACCTACGGAAATCCACCACCCTATCTCAAGTGGTTCAAGGGAGTGAACCAGATGGAACTGACCCAGAATGCATACTACTATACGTCCAATGTCAGATCTAGCGGTGAGTAAAATTAAAGTCAGGCAGCAGTAGCCACACGCAGAGGGCGATAAAGACCGAATAAATACCTAAGAAATTTAAGCTCATTATATACTACTATGAATAAGCTACAGTCGTTTGCTATCAATACAGCAAAAGACATCCATTAAAGGAAAAGGTTCAGCCACCAGTTAACGACCAAGCATATTGACATGTCTTCTTTGGTTTTAAAAGGATACGGAGATGCAGTGAGCACAATGGCACTGATTCTAAACAGCAATGACCAGAATCAGGAAATCAGGTGCGAGGCTGCGTATGACGGTTACGAGAGAGCCATGGAGTACACACTCAACATCCAACTCAGTAAGTTGACATATAGTGAATTAATTTTTAAAAATAACATTATATGGATACATGCACATTTTTGACTAAAATATCGGTAGCACTGGAGGTCAAGAAAATTTTTAAGTGCCTCACGTATAGCATAAATAATTAACCTAAAATATGATAGAAATTTTTACATAAAAATTCACGCAATATGGTTTCTTAAAGGCGGTGGACCATCATTGAAGGCACAAGGATTGCTGGCAGCTCTGTTTGTAGCCTGCAGCTTGGCGTTCAAGAGTTTATAATGGACTGCAGATGCTGATTTAACTGTGTGAACATTTACGAACAGAATCTCTTGAAACAATTTTGCTCGATCTCTTGGACAACTTTTTCGTGTTTCGGGTTCTTCTCCATGGATTTCCGATGTGGATCTCATACATCTAAAATAGGTGCAACAAGATGGCATATGTAAATTGTGTTTTCATCTCATAAATTACAATTAAAGACCGGAAATGAGACAAATTTTGCTTTGTTGAGTACTAAACAATAGGCGCCATTGCACTGAGTCCCTTTCGTACAGGAAAAGGGGAGTTTAAAAGTTTGAATGTTTGTTTGTCATCTAAGTATTCAATGTGTTTTCTAGTCAATTAATTTAGACCCCCCTTTTATGTTGTACCAGGAACTCCGGTTACTTCTAGGCTCCTTGCCTCAACTCCAAACCGCACTCTAGCAACCCCCCTTTCCAAACAATGCCTGCATCATTTAACGTTCCAACATGCTGCATAAGGTCCACAAAAGACGAAATGGCTTCAAATGGAGAAGGAAGATCTGTCTTTATTATCGAGCATTTTACTTTCGATTTTTCGCAAGAGAGCCAAATGACTAAATATTCACATGTGATATTTCATGTTTTCTTCTTTGAGTTTGTAATACGCATATCTACCATGATATTTATTTTTAGTATAATGATATTATTTTTTTATTTTTTTTGCTTTCAATAAATAGAATGTGTTGAAACCTAATATCACAGGAGTATTTTATTTACTAAAAGGTTGTCTCTTCAAGGCGTGTCTGTGATACCTTGTACATATTTCTGTAAATTATGAAAGTGAATTTATTGTAATCTGATTGATATAGAATAAATTGACATCTACATTCCATCATTGTGTTACCTTTATTGACTTACAGGATGAGCGTACATCTACAATACATGGGTCACCGGGAATTTGTTTAACAGTGACTGGAGAGCTAACATGCTATATAGAACTCGATTGAAGTGCACATGCAACGTTCGATTAAACAATAAACCAGATGGATTTCCTTTTTGAACTTTTCAGTGAATTTATTATTAAGTTACCTTTTACTTATTAAGACCTAAGTGATTTTGTTACTTGTTACTTCCTTGGGAATTTAGTCAGTCTTTAGCTAAGACCTCAGTGGTTTAATCGCTTTTTTCTATTTCCTTGCCGATTGGGTTACTTTTTAATTAAAACATTTGTAGTTGAGCCCCCCCCCCCCCTATTTTTTTCACTTCCTTGACAATTAAGACTCTTTTTTACTTAGGACGTTAGTGGCTTGGTTAAGTTACTTTAGTTACTTTTTACATAAGACCTTAGTGGTTTAGTGGAACAATTACCTTAAAAACAGTTGTTTTTTACTTAGTAAATAAGATGGATAATCGCCGAGTTATCTCATAGGAAAACAAGATGTAATTGTGAAATACTGATGCGAAGGTTAAAATTTTCTCAAATGCGAGTCAAACTCCAAGGTCAATAGCTGCAGATCTGTATCTCGCTGGTCTTAAAAAATTGGGATGGACGACCAGAGAGCTATAGTGCCATCCATTGAAAAAAGTGTATATTTATTGCGCACAAAAAATGCGCTGTTGCGCGATTTTTTCTCTGGTCGTCCATCCCATTTTTTTTCAGACCAGAGCTACAGATCTGCAGCTACAAGGTCAAGAGATCAAAAATGTTGTTACCCAAAGAAAGGATAAACCTGGTAAATATAAAAGCCCAAGCATCAGCCATTCAAAAGTTTTGGTCAGGGTTAACGTTTTCTGAAATGGGTCCTTATTACAACGGTAAAATAGACACATATCATGTTCACCTTGGTGGAATGGTTGCTATTTACATAGTGCCCTTAGAAGAAGTAAATAAGGACATGATACCAAAATGGAATACAATCAATCAATCATGTTATTTAGAAAGTTGATATTTAATATTACATTGTATCTAAATGGAATACTTTTCATAATCGGAAAAGAGCTGAAGAATATAGAAGTTCTATCAGAGATTACCCATTTTACCTGGGAGGAACTGCAGTTTACGATTTTCGTCATCTATCGCCAAACTGCATTTCAGTTGATTTTATTTCCATCTTCCTTGAGATCTGGGGTTTTATACACAATAATCATCAGAATCGCCATGATTTTAGCCAAAAAGAATATATATATATATATATATATATATATATATATATATATATATATATATATATATATATATATATATATATATATATATATATATATATATAATTATGTGTGAAATGTTTGCATTTTTATAGAGAAAACAAGGTACTTAAACTAACTGAATGATAGAATATTTGAAACTGATTAAATAATTCACTTTTGTAAACTTCACAGAATGAGAAATTGATCATTTCCTTAAAACAAATCTATTTAAACGCCAAGACGCTAATCCCCGAGGATCTTTATTGTTTCCCCTCAGCAATTCCTGTACTGGCTATTAAATTCTTTGAACACTTTTGTTTTTCATTTTTATTTTTCCTCATATTTTTCCCACTTCAACATACTTAATCATATGTATTTGTGAATCAAATTATTTACTGAGTGACCATTTCGTTGTCAAACGCAAATTGTTAATGGGGACATGTTAAATCTATCTAGTTAAAGTTACATCAAGTCAGGAAACAAATAACCTTGTTTAAAACATGACCAGAGTGTTCGCCAAATAGTTATCTAGTAATATCAACAAATAAAGATTTACGAAAGCCTATTAGGATCAAACTACGGTAAAAAAAAATTTGAAAGGCGTTATAACGCCTTTTCAAAAGGCGTTATAACGCGAAAAAAGGCGTAATAACGCCTTTTGAAAAGGCGTTATTACGCCTTTCTAAAAGGCGTTATTACGCCTTTCCAAAAGGCGTTATAACGCCTTTCTAAAAGGCGTTATTACGCCTTTCCAAAAGGCGTTATTACGCCTTTTAAAAAGGTGTTATTACGCCTTTCCAAAAGGCGTTATTACGCCTTTCTAAAAGGCGTTATTACGCCTTTCCAAAAGGCGTTATAACGCCTTTCTAAAAGGCGTTATTACGCCTTTCCAAAAGGCGTTATTACGCCTTTTAAAAAGGTGTTATTACGCCTTTCCAAAAGGCGTTATTACGCCTTTCTAAAAGGCGTTATTACGCCTTTTAAAAAGGCGTTATTACGCCTCTTTTTTTTCAATACATGACTTACTTAGCCCACCCTGGGGGCTGATTATAATTAGATTTCTAGGAAAAAAGATTTTTAAATATGTAAAATATTTTCAGTGTTAAACCAACTTAGTCCTTCTCTGATGCCAGACGCTTCTACCAAGGTGTATGGATTTCAGAAATTTTGTTGAAGGCTAATTGCTCATTATACCTATGCAAATACTTTCCCTGTTTTATACCAAGAGGAGAGAAAAATATTTTCAAATTTGACATGAATTTTTAATACGTGGCTAGCAAAGCCCAAAGCTGGTTCTGCCTATATCCTGGATTTTCAAAAGTAGAGTGATGACTTCTCTTAATATGCATGCAAAATGCAAACAACTGTCTGCGAGATGTGCAGGAATATAGATAATACTATAATTTATAATATAATTTATAATAGTAAAACTATAATCTAAATATTGCATAAATAAAGACGGCTTTGGTTCAATCTTTCATATATTTACTATTTTAAAATAACGCCTTTCCATTTTTGGATACAACTCCTTTTCAAACAGGCCGGTAGTACGAATGTGAGTGGGGGGGGGGGGTGGGTGTCCCCCACCCCACTTTTTGGGAGAATAGTCTTGCTATAGGTTAAATATAAAAAAATCATTTATTGTTTGCTTGGTCCCTTAACATTTTGTTGCAGTATGGTTAAACTCGGGCAAGTCATTGCATTTAAAAAAAGTTTTACCGAAAAATTAGAAAAAGTTTCCCCTCAAGTTTAGGCAGTTTATTTTTTTCGGGGAGGGGGGGTCTTGTTTTTTTTTGTTTGCTTGTCAATTTTATGGCCCCCCCCCCCTTAAAAGCACGGGCTTGTCAAAAACATAATAATGGCCCTTCAAAGGCATAATAACGCCTTTTCGAAAGGCGTATTAATGCCTTTTAAAAAGGCGTAATAACGCCTTTTAAAAGGCGTAATAACGCCTTTTGGAAAGGCGTAATAACGCCTTTTGGAAAGGCGTTATAACGCCTTTTAGAAAGGCGTAATTACGCCTTTTGGAAAGGCGTAATAACGCCTTTTGGAAAGGCGTTATAACGCCTTTTGGAAAGGCGTAATTACGCCTTTATTTGCGTTATTACGCCTTTTCCGCGTTATAACGCCTTTTCAAAAGGCGTTATTACGCCTTTTTTCGCGTTATAACGCCTTTCGAAAAGGCGTTATAACGCCTTTTAAATTTTTTTTTACCGTAGTTTGATCCTAATAGGCTTTCGTAAAGATTAAATATGGGGTAAATCTTAAAAATAAACAGATCAGCTGGATACTATTTGCTAGTATCATTAAACAGAGAAAGCTAATTTTCATTCTTGATTTTATATTTGAGTTTCCCATACAAACTGTCACAATCTCTCTTTTGTAAACAGAATTTAATTTCATGCAAAGAGAGTCAGCTAGTAAGTAGCGTAATTTTCAGAGGGGTGGGGGTGGGGGGGGGGGGAGTTGCATTTCAGTCTCTTGCTTCACTTCGGTGACTTTGTTTGTTATTGTCCATTGAAATGCTAGCCCCCCTTTAAAATCAAAGTCTTGATAAAAGTTAAATGCAGTTCTTTGAAAATAATTAAATTCTCTGCCAGTTTGCATGCATATTAAGGAAGGGAAATGTGTTCATAATTTGCTTCATTTAATAAGAAGCTCGGTAGAAATTACAAATTTTATTTGACATCATATTTTAAATTTACCTGCATTTTATTTCATTGAGATACTTTTAAAACAATTCCATGTCATGTCAGTATATCAGCCCTCTGTTTTCGGTTATAATGTAGATATGTTGCTGAGTTAGCATTGAATTTATTGTTTGTTTTCATTCAAAGCCCCCTATCCCCACCTTTAACCCCCACCCTTGCATAGACACCTACATACTGAGTACTTTTTTTGTTACAGTAGATCTAACTATTTCAAATAATTCATTTTTAAAAAAGGAGAGGAAACGAAACCGAGAATCGAACCCAATCCTCCCCCACTTTCTCAATGAAAAGGATTTTCGATGTGGGGCAGTTTCGAGGTTTTGTACGTATTTATTAAAAAAAATATTTAAGTTTTCTCCTATCCCTACATCCCCCTTTTTCTATGCGTTGCCTCACAGATCTTGCGTTAACATAAGACAACTTGTTTTTCGAAACGACACAGAACCAAAAACCTGAAACTGTAAGATTCATATTTCTGAGTCTTAAGTTGATCATATTCCTGAGTCTAAGTTGATGAGTCTAAGTTGATCATATTCCTGAGTCTAAGTTGATGAGTCTAACTTGATCATATTCCCGAGTCTAAGTTGATCATATTCCTGAGTCTAAATTGATCATATTCCTGAGTCAAAGTTGATCAAACATGCATACTGAAGATGTATGTAATATGTATTGTGTAAGCGTAATTTTCATCTTTGTTCCTGGAGAAATCGGAAGCTATTTATACCTGTATTTATATGATTATTAGTAAAGAAATGACCCCTTTCAGTTGTGGATAGATTATGTTTTTTGGGTTTAAATAATTAAAAAAAAAGATAGAGGCATTCTGCACGCCTTGCTCGTCCATCTCTTCAGTAAAAATTTAATACTTTTTATTGCGGTAAGGTCCAGTACTGGCAAAGGCCAGGATTTGGACGGTAAACAAGGTTTTTATTTTTTATTTCATTTTATTTATTTATTTTTTTTTTTTTTGATTGTCAGATTTTTTGGGAAGTTGCCCCCCCCCCCCTTACTTACTTTAATGTTAGATGAAATATCAAAGAAAATTTTGTTATAATTGATATATAATTTTTCACCTTGATATTTGTCGCACTATAGGCATTTCGCTCTTCTTGTTCGCTTATCTTCTTCTTTTTTTTTTATGTCTATCAATGTTTGAAATGTAGTACATACATATACAACAGACAAAAGTGGAATAGGATCAGTCAAATTCTCCTAGACAAGGTCCACTCGAAAGGAAAGCCTGTCATCATTATAGTTTATACACAGATAAAGAGAAACCTCATCCAATGATTTACAGAATCTGATGCTGCAATCACTCTGTAAATACATATAAATGGATTCAGACTCTCTTTAATGTAACAAATACAGCATATCAGTTAAAAATTATTCAAGGGTGGGGAAGGGGGGGGGGGGGGCTGAAAAGAGATAACTTCCCAAGTAAATGATCCTTACATGTCCAATAGTTCGTTTTACCATAGTTTAGTAATGGAGACCATTAGAAAGTCATTTCAGTCAAAACCAGCATAGAACACAAGTACTGATTTCTACTTTCGTTTGACAATATTTTTTGAATTCTTGCATACTGAACCACTTCTATCTTTTTTATAAACAATTTTAAAACTCTAGTAATGTATCATGTACACGTATTATATATATAACTTTTATTATCAGTACATTTTTTCCCTAGTAAAAAAATGTTTTAAAGAAAGATGACTCTAGCTGAGTTTTATTTTTCACTGTGACTTAAAAATGCAGTGCTTTATTCATGACATTTCAATATTATTTTCGTGCATACCTCATAGTTTTATGTTGTCATAATGAATTACTGCTCTTCCTATTTTCTATGTCAGACATAAGCACTGTTTTGTACTTCATACTATTTTCAGTTTGAATCCAGTGCTATGTAGTTGTGGATGAAAATTTAAAGTTTGGAAGTTAAAATTTTTTTTGTCAAATTTAGAGGAAGGGGTCATTACTCCTCAATGCAGTATGGTATTTCAGAAACTTCGACACATGTACGTTTTAGCTGTTCAAATACTTCTTTTTATTTGAATATAATATACTGAACCATTCTGTGAGGTAAGTTGTTTGGTGACCAAATGATAATTCAGAATAAAGAGCGTGATTTTTCCACATTTATTTTCTTGAAATTTGAAAAACTGTTAAAGTTATATTTGGAGACTTAAATGCTACCAACATAAAAAATAAAAATGATAATATTGAAACATTTGACAGCAAATAAATATATCACAGAAATATATGACCTTGCATACATATTAACAAGCTGTTCAAAGATATTTTCATTCTTGCAACACAGATCATTCACAATAAGCATCTTGACAGCAACACTAAGCAAGTTATGTCCCCTTTCAACCTGGAAAAATTTTAACACTGCATACATTCTAAAGAATACATACAAACTACATACATTTCCAAGAATTAAGTAGAATAGTGAACATTTTACTATATTTATTTTTCCAATGTTATGTTCTGTGTGCAACAATTCAGGTTTTAAACTTATGAATCCAACAAAGTAGAACTTTAATCTACTATATACACGTACATGTATAACACTGTCCTATATTTCAACTCCATTCCAGCTTTAGCTTAAATATTCAGAGAAAGCAGAATCTTCACTAATTACAACCAAAAATTCCATTGTAGTTGCAGTGATTTAAAGTTAATAGGGTCATAACTTAGTCAAATAGAAGAAATCCCATGAAATAAACATTTGTTCACCAAAATTTCATATTGTATAAGAAATTTTACATTCCAATACACATGTACCTGTAATTCAATGACTTGTGAGACTTTTTATTTATCAAAAGGTTAAAAACTGCCATTAATCAGTCAAAATGAAATGAAATTCTGATGATGAACTGGAGCAGTTGACTTTTTTTTTTAAACTGAATCAGATGTGACTGAAATTTTAATATCTTAAAGCTATATGAAAAAGCAATGGATTTTTTTTTGGAAACGTCAAGCTTTGTCAAAGCTTAGGGCTTTGACACTGTATCTAATTTATCTAAACTGAATCCTAAAAATCAAATTTAACAATTAAATTTTATATATGTATTGTGTTCTGAATTCTACTCAATTATCTCAAAGTTCAATAAATTAAAAAAATATCAAACTGAACATGTGGAGAGATGGAGAGAACATAGAATATCCTCATTTTATTAGAAGGGGACTAATAAATAAGATTTTGAACATTAAACAAATTATGCATTTCTTAAATCTCTCTTTCTCTCTCATTCTCTCTGAGATGCATTTATCACTGTATACACATATCTACATGCACACACTGGGTACCATTACCTGTACCATTACCAGTAGTTAACTGGAATAGGCTTGAAATACAATAGTACGCGCCATCTTCTGTAGGTCCTTCCATATCAAACAGCTGATTTATGGCTTTATCCTGTTAACAGTTCCTCATCACTGTCATCAAAATCATCTCTCTCTACTTCACCCTCAATAGATGACTTCCTCTTCTTAATCACGGAGATAACAAACCCAATCAGGATAAACTAAAATTATAATATATTAATCATTGTTACATATTCATACAGTAAAACATGGTTACATTGAATATGACTATAATGAATTTACACTTTAATTCAATAATTTTCACCCCCTGTAGTCTTAAAACATATTATATACTTAATGGATGCAAGGAATTGTGTTTATAATGAATCAAAATTGTTTGTCCCTTACATTTTGTATAAGCATGTTTAAACTGTACATGAATAGAACAAATTTTTAAATGATATATACATGTATATGCAAACTGTATGTTCATTCAGAATTATAGAAAAGTATAGTATCATAACTATTGTATGTTTAATAGGTGGGCAGTTTGGTTTTCATTTGCTTTTATTACTCTGAAAAGAAGAGAATACATTCCTTACCCCTAGAAACACCCAGGTTCCCCAGTAATAGGCAGCCCCAAAGAACCACATCCTGTAGAAGAAACTCGTCAACAGCAGGGTCATTCTGGTTATGGTGCAGTCATCTACAGGAAAATATACTCATGTTTGAATTTAAATATCTTTAAGATACCCGGTACATGTATAACCCTTTCACACGTCTGATCACTTGTCAATGAGATATTAATACATTTCGCCTCTAGTTTCAAAGGATCATATTTAAAATTTGTATGTTTGTAACTCCACTCAATTGTACTGCAAACACATCTAACGACATACTTGCTGTGGCATCTGTTGTGCAGGACACAATTTCTTGTGTGGAGTTTCCTTTGACTTCCTAGAACAAGAAAAACAACTAAATGTACATACACCTAGTGAAAAGAAGGATGAAGTATAAGTCAATTTAATTATGCTTTGAAAACATTTACAATTTTCTAATCTAACATTTACATAACTTAAATATGGTCATCGTTATACATTGCACAGCTGCTAAAATACTGTGTCTTATATTTTGTGGTGATTATATTATAATTACTTTTTCTGCTGTTTGTCTTTTGACTTACTGTAAAAGCAGAAATATTCACTGGGGATTAAATTTCATTAATTTCGTTGTTAACAATTATCAACGAAATTAAATCCGACACGAAATTTATATTTAAATTTTTTAAATTATTTAATTTCTAAATTAAATTCCCACGAACCCTTTTTAGAGGACAAATCAACAAAATTTTATCCCCATGAAAATTTGTGCTTCTACAGTATTATATTGACTGAAAACCAGCATTGCCATGTTGATAAATTTCAATGAATTGAATTAGAATACATACCACATATCTCTGACTTCCAAAGGAGGAGTATTGAGGGGTGAGTTCATAAATGATAATGTTGATGGCCAAAGTCAAAAACATCATGATCATACACATCATCAGAATACCTTGTGGTCGGGTTCTGCGTGGACGAATCTTGTACATCTGTCAAAAAGGAAAGACATAGAGGTAAAAATTTTCTTTAATCTCCCTTTTTATTTCGTTGATCAGAGTTGGAGGTTTACAGGCAGACAAAGGTCCACTGTCTCAAACCATGGTCCGAAGTCTGCATGTAAAGCTTTCTCTTGCCTATGGCTGCTTGATCACAAAAAGTATCGTAATCTTGAATAATCATGCCTTGAATGTGTGATGCCATGTAAAACAAATAAAAATAAACGTTTCTATTGCAATTGCAATCAACAATATACAATTAATGTTATGTAGACTGTGATTGGGTATTGAAAGGTCGCATCAAAGGTAATTTTCCGACTATGTTTTGCTCACATTGGTCAATATTATAATGAGCTACGAGATATTCTATCTTATTCAACCCCACAGCAACAATGGGAGGGGATTAAACATTTTGGAAATGGTTTGTGATGACGAGAAAGCTCTTGCTTTGCAATTCTTGTAAAAAGTAAGCTATCAATTCCTTTTGCTTCTCACATAGTTATGATATAACCTACCCTAAGCCAAAGAAACCAGATTCCAATGTTTCTGACACCAGACATAGAACAGAACACGAGATACAGAACCAGGGCAGCAAACATGATGTAATCCAAAGGAAACACCTGAAATATTCATAATAATGACTGAAGATGTTAAAAAACTCAAGCTAAAATATTTCAATTAAATTTTTACTGCATTCATTAAATTGTCTTTTTAACATTCATCAAATTGTCTTTTTAACGAAGTTAACCTTTTGACAGAAGACCAGAATTATGTCTACTGGATTAGGGAGTTGTCTTTTTGGTAGGGCATAGCCAGACTTGTAACCCAGTCCATGAATGGCCTTGTCAATGCTACAAAAGTTACATAACAAATAAAAATAGGCTCTATGAAGACAATCAGTATTGGGATGAGAGTTTTATAACTACTGTTAATGTATGGCTGAAAATAATTAATTTACACTAAACAAGTGCTAAAACATATGATAAAAATTTTGCATTAATTCATTAAGATCACTAGGCATCAATTCCATTATACTGCAACCTGATCTGAAACATACTGGCATTAAGAAAATACAATATGATTAAAAATAGTCAATTATTACGCTTTCTATATTAAGCTACAAATATAGAATAGTGTGTAGGAAATCAAACTTAATAAACACTGGCTTGTAAATGGACTGCAAGAAAATAGCAACCTTGTGGAAGTAAGTACAGGTAATTAAAGTTTATTTAAAGTCTGACTATTTACGAATACTAACGGAACTAGTTTATCTACGAGGGGTTATCAAAAAGTTCGTGGACTGAGGCGATAAAATTAGTACTATGTAGTCTGTGCTTTCAAAATTTATAAGGAACACAAAACAACAAAAAATAAAGAAATGTTGAAAATTTTAGCTTGATACATTCATTTTATGCCACATTATTATAAAATAAAAATGACATTATATGATCACCCGGCGCTGTGGCCGTTTAGTTTCATGACGTACGACAACGTCATTGTTTTTCAATGTCCGATTCTTCTACCTCATACACTTATCTCGATGAGATTCCCTGGAGTTGAGTAAGGACTTAAACCCATCTTGTTTATATGTCTTTACAATGTCATGAACAGCTACTTTCAATGCATATAATATTGCAAATGGATTTATACACTGGGAGAGATCCTCGCTTGATTATGTCAGCATATTTTGCTTTCTGGAGCTCAATATCTACCACACATAATCAATGTCATTTTTTGACGTGATTGAGTTTTCACACCTTGACTACAAATTGACATTAACTGTACATTCCTTTTCTTTCTGAATCTATTTTGGCATTAAAAAAACAAGTACTCTGGATGCATTTTATTTCTCTGTGGCCAGTTTAAACATTTCTTAGGTCTATACCAGTTTTTTCGGGGGCAAAACTTTATAGATCGTTGGAAAAAGAAACCCCTCCCCCTTTTTGACGTCATTTTCAAGCCCTCAATTGTTTGGACACGCCATACAAAATTTACGACAAATTTTTATAGAATTTACAGAATGAGGTAAAAATTGCATATTTTACGGAACAATAGTGTCCTATCACATACCTGAATTAACGGGATTTTTGGATGTCAAATGTTCATAATAAAAGAGTTTTTGTCAGTTACACTTAGGTCGAAAAAACGTCATGTTTGAGGTTGCGCCGCCTGGACATACCATTGCTTACAATAACATTACTAATTTATTAAAAAATAAAATTTATAATTTGTTTTTTTTAATTTGTGGTTTATTCTATAGATAGAAAAAATAATGCTAGCTAACTAATTTAAAATTCATTGATGTACCTACAGCGGTGTTAATTTTATGGCACTAGTCCACGAACTTTTTGATACCCCCTCGTATATACTGTCATATTAACAAAAAATGTATGCATAGTGTTCCCAGTGCTTGTACTCTCCTCTGCTTAGTTTGGTATTCTACAAACAAGAAGTATTTAACAAAAATCTTTTATTTATAATGAAAAATAATTGAATTCCTAGTAAACCCTTACTTTGTCAGTAGAAGTGACACAAAAATCAGTAAAGTCACTAAGAAGAAGGCCACCCCAAAAACCACCTCGAATGGCCTCAAAATGAGGAGACATTTCCGTAGAAGACTTTTCTCTTTGGCCTCTAGGTGCTTCTCTTCCCTCTCAAGTAACCTCTCCTCCTCATCTAAAATCTCCACCCTGTCCCGATTCCGCGAGGAGAGTCCTCTTCTTGAGTACTATTTCAATATTTCAAATATGATATAAATAGAACAATACTATATGGAATGCTGAATCATAAACATTCATACAATGATCACCATTTTAACTATTCAAACTAAAGCTATCAAAAAACAATAAGTCTCTGATGAGACTGTAGCTCTACTGGTTTGTATAAGAAGTACTTAAACTTGAAATTTTGCAACAGCAATAAATAGAATAATAATAGTTTAGTCTCTTTTTGTGGCAAGATTTATTGCAAGCAGACTAAAACTGTAGGAAGAGTAGCCTTTTGGAAGAATTTTAAAGAGATTTCTATTTTCAGTAATGGCAACACCTCATCAAAATCAAAAACATAAATAGAATTATGTATCTTAGTGTGATCTACTTGTGTGCCAAATTATATTGAAATCAGACTAAAACTGTAAGAGGAGTAGCATTTTGAAAGAATTTCACAGAAATTTCTATTCTAAGTAACCATGGCAACACCATTCATCAAAATCAAAAACCATTAGAGAATTATGTATCTTAGTGTAGACTACCTGTGTACCAACTTATAGTGAAATTGGACGGAAACTATAAGAGGAGTAGTGTTTTGAAATAATTTCACAGAAATTTCTACTTTTTAGTAACCATGGTAACACAATTCATTGAAATCAAAAACCGATATTCAGAATTATGTATCTTAGTATAGTCTACTTGTGTGCCAAGTTATACTGAAATCAGACCAAAACTGTAGGAGGAGTATCATTTTGAAAAATTGTTCACAGACAGACAGACAGATGGATACCTTACAATCGCACTAGCTCTTCTGGGGCCCGTTTTACAAAAGAACTTACGACTAAGATCAAAAACTTAAGCTGATTGTAAAATTTTGCAAAATTGATGATTCTCTTTAAAATTGCTAGCGTAAAAATATCTTACTATATTCCTTTTAAAAAGATTAAAATCATTTTAATACAATGTAAATTTAAAAAGTTACAAGCAGAATTAAATTTTGGTCTTAGTCGTAAGTTCTTTTGTAAAACGGGCCCCTGGTCTCTGACCAGTAGAGCTAAAAGAAAACATATATGTACCCCTACCCCACCCACCCCTCCAAATTGTAATGTTTTGAGTAATAGCATGAATTCCTCACATACCTTGTCCCTGATGGCACTCGACCTGTTGTTTATCCTTGACCTTTGACTCTGAACATCAAGTCTTTCTTCCTTTGCACTCTTTGTTCCTTTTATCAGAGACATAGGCATGGCTGACATCCCATAAGCCTATCACAGAAAAGAAAATAAAAGAAACCCTTCACAATTTATTGAGTTGTCAAATAAATAAACCTTGCAGTAGTAAATAATTCTGATACAATGTTAATCCAAAAACAATTGAAATACAAGTTCTATCAACATGATTTACATTCTTAATAACGCTGATTTAGACATTTCTGATATTAAATATCAATAGCTTTGAAAATGTCCTTTACAAGATTTGTTACAAATTGTAAGAACATGTGTGATATAGATACAAATACAGGGTACTTACTGAGTACATGATAAGTGTAAGGACAGGTGTGATATAGATACACATTCAAAGTACTTACTGAGTACATGATAAGTACTTACTGAGTACATGATAAGTGCCAGCATCCCCAGAAGACTCAGTACACTCACAACAAAAGACAGGGCATCCTCTAATTCTGTGTAAACATAACATATCACATCACACAAATAAATAAATTGTACCTAGGTAAATACAAAATAATGTACTGTGTAAGTATTTAAAAACCACAAGTATCACCTCAATTAATAATGTAACTTATACTTGTATAGTGACAAAGTCTCATAACAAGTGAATGTTCAATTAAACACATAAATTAATCTCATCATTATACAATCAATATGAAATAATATTTTAGCTATACATTTGGGGAAAAAAAACAGCTTCAAACTAAGGACTACGATCAATACAATCTTCGCGCAGGTAAGACTTTTAGACAGTTACAATTACTTGGAGAAGGATCCACTCAAAAAACAAATTTAAATCAATAATTGAATTAATTTGGATGTCAAGGTATTCATTTCAGGTATAGATTCAGCTTTATGCCTTTACCCCACGTTGTTAACCTAATATCTCTACACAAACGATATCACCTGAGATACATTTCATATTGGGTCAAATTTTAATAATGATCAATTGGGCAAAGTGATTTTCACACAAATTTCCAGGCCACCACTTCTTTTGACTTGGAAAATTTATAAAATTATTTAATACCTGAAAAGGCAAAAAAAAAAAAAAAACAAACAAAAACAAAAACAAAACAAAACGAAACAAAAAACAAACAAACAAAAACTTTAGAGTGTTGAGAAAATTTACGAGAATAAACCAGGGAAACAAATTGATATTTAGATTTTTGGAAATATTGCTGTCATACAAAAAAAGAAGTCTGGTTAACTTCTCTTGAGTAGACTTACTGTTTTCATTACTAAACTCCTTGAAGAGATCCACTATCTTGTTCCACTGGTTTGTATTATTTTTACCTGAAGGAGGTGTCTCATGATTCACACCAACAAAAGCTCTGTAAAATAAAACTTTTATAATTCATAAATACTTTTAATAAAAAAAAAAATGTCCGAAAGAGCCAAATTTGTCATGAAATAGTTATTGTCTACTATGATAAGGATAATCCAATATGTAAAATATACTTACCCAACTAACAAGAGAGCCACAATGATGAACAATGAAACAAGGGTGTACTTAAAGGCTGAACACATTCTCTGTTAGAATAACAAACAATATCATTGTCAGGAAATACAACTTATTGTATAGAAAGGTACAGTAGAATTCTGATGTCTAAATAACCAAGAAATTGTATCAAACTGATTGGCAGTCAAACTTATTACTGTATATACTCAAGTATTGATTTTTGATACTTGAACATTTTTATAATCCAGCAAAGTTCTAGACATTGAGCTTTCACTGTAAACCAATCAATTTTTTTTTTTACTTTTGATAAGTTTCTTACATCAGCTAAAACATCATTAAAGACAAGATGTGTTTGTGAAACACAGATGTCCCTGTATGACAGCTCATTGCCAAAGTATGTTTTTCAAATGAAGGTCAAACTCCAACGTCAAGAGGTCAAGAATATAAGGTCTTGTCACAAAGAAAACACAAGTGAATTATGAAAGCCCAAGCACCAACCATTCAAAAGATATGGTCAAGGTTAAAGTTTTTGAGGAGAAACAGATAAACACAGACCAAAAACTATATACATGTACCTCTGAATCTTCAAATACAGAGGCACAAAAATAATTATAAGTAAACATTGTAATTGATGTAAACCACATAAGAGTTCTATTTGAGATGGAGTAGGATTGATGTACATGTATGTTAACGTACAGATTTAACTGTTGACTCCTCATCTCTCTCCTCATAGAAGAAGTACATAAAAGGCAATAGAAGGAAAAGGCAAAACACAATCAAACCATACAGGGCTGGAAAAAAAATAAATCATATTAAATCATAACGCTAAGATGTTCAATATTGAGGAAAAAAAATTATTTAATAACTTTCTAAAATACTTGAGGTAAAATTTGAATGTACCAGTGTTTTTTTTCAGGGGCTGCAACATAGAACACTGATTTTTAAAAGGAGGTATAATGCACTTAGAAAAACATCAATAATAGAAAATATGAATAATACATGTATACCAGAAAATTTATGGTATTAAAAACATAAGGATTTAATATTTTTTTCAATAAACAGAAAATGGATTTTTGTATAAAAATGAATTGATTTGTAACATTGTTGCAAGTTTGCCAATCCAATTCAAAGCTTCCTCAATTGATGATACAAATAAACAGGAAAAATAAATGTAATTTTGACCTTAAACTCTACATTTGTGACATATATATGGTTAGGAAAATTGGGGCAGTGTTATTCCTCAAAGTTATTGAAAAAGCTATTGAGACTGGGTATACACTTAGACTTGATTACAAAAAATATATAAACGAATGAAACTGCAAAGGTTTTAAAATCTTGGAATCATACTTCTGTATAAATTTTTTTTTCAATATATTAAAATCAGTTAATTTGCATCATATTTTTAACCTATAAAAAAGCATATCACATTGTTATACCTTTAAGAATTGGTTCCTATATAAATCTATGCTAAAAAATTCCAACATTTCCAAAGTTTTACTGAGCGGTCATTAAAAGAAATTGATGTTTGACTGCAGAGTAAGATACTGGACCTGTCGATGAGATATTGGTTCGCTTATGTCACACTTTGGGCGGGATCAGCTATATATCATTTGCATTTGTTGGTGTTCGACAGTGACCAAATTGACCGAGTTTAACCGCAGTGCGGGTAAAGGAAATTTACATCATGAAAGCCAGCACAAGATACATGATGCTAAAAAAATAAAAAGGAATAACAAAACATTGACTGTGTTCTTGGGCAAAATGTGTTTAGTAAACCCTTGAACCAAACTGTTTACCTTCAGCCTAACAGCCTAAGGCAAACAGTTTGGTTCTTCGGTCTAACAAAACGCATGTTGCCCTCTAACGCAGTCAATAAATGTATAATGCTAAATAATGTGTCTATTACTAGTGTAACTATACTTACCAGTGTAACTATACTTACAAGTGTAACTATACTTACAGTAATAAGCATCCGATATGGAGTTCTCCAGAGATTGTCTTGTTGTGTTACTCACAGCCCAGTCCTTTAAGAATTAAGTAAAAAGTTTCTTATCAGAATTTTTTCTAAGTTAGATTTATTTAGAAGAAAAATCTAAAAGTTCAATGAAAGGCATGGATCACAAAATTGAGTTTTGAAGTCTTATTCTACTTGGCAGCTAAAACTTGAAAATATTTGTGTATTTTTTTTTTTTTTTTTTGTCAATCAAAGGTAATGAAAAGATATTTAAGTATATAATTCAAATAAAATCTGACTTGTAAATTGAGTATTTACTGTACAACAAATAATTATTTCAGTGTTAATTTTTTTTCTTACTTTGAATGTTCCATCTGTGTTTTTCATGAATGAGACTAAGAAGACATCGACAGGGATCAGAGCTGTTGTTAGAAGTGTAACGCTGAGCGCCACCACGGACGACAGAGTACTGGATATCGTACCATCTCTCTTACTAATGAAGTATTTCACATATGCACCAGAAAACAGCAAGATCAGCTGAAAATTGCAATGTATAAAATATGCTCTATTAATCAATATTTACATATGCTCTTTTTAGTGTCTCTAGGAATCTGTTCTCAACAGTTGCATTCATATCACTATGAACCAATTTGCAACCATTTAGTAACGCAACTTGTCACTGGTGTGGGAGATACCTCTACACATACATGTACTAAACATACAGAATATGATTAAGGGGTACATACAGTTGAGCCTTATTAATCTGGATGATTGTGTTCCAAAACAAATCGTCCGGATAAATGAAGAATCCGGACTACTGTAACTGACCTTATAAAACTGGTAGATACAAGTGTGAATTATGTTCCCCACAAATTTAGTCTGCAAGGTGAAACGTGTGGATTAATAGCATCAGGATTAATGAGGCTCTATTATAAATGTATAAGAAAGATTGTTAGAATGACTGAATTAATTGTAGGTTTTAACAAAAATCTTCAAAAAAATTAATGGGATAAAAATTGCTCATCGAGTCATATTTGTAAACTTTTTGAAATTAATTGTAATCAATGTACAAAACTGGAAAATAAAAATATCCCAAAATAAAGCAGAGGTTCTAAATCTTTTATTTATTACATTTTAATGCAACTTTAGTTCTAAAGAACAAAAACTCTTCATGCAGGTATATTTAGTTCGGACCTCGTGATAACTCCAAATATATTTCAAGATTTATTTCAACTTTTAGAAATAGTTTTAAATGACTAAAAACTTATATAAAAACAATTTAGATTTTTATTCTTAAGCCATTGAAATATGGTTGAAATACTGCTGATTCAGTGTTACAATATACAATCAATCTTTTCTTGTTAGATTTTTATGTTTCTCACAAGGGACAAAGGATTTTAAATACTTCAAACAACGACATCACAACTTTAAAAAGCCATGAGAATTTGTTCAGATGATATGTGAACAGATGACAGGGTTAAGAAACAAGCATCATGTACAAGTATGTGATTCATTTGGAAATAAAGTTGATTTATCCAGAATGCTGAATTTATTTTTTCATCAATTATTTCTTTTAATGAAAACAAGAAGCTGAGCATATATCCCAGTCAGCATTTCCTCTGACATCAGAAATAAACAACTTTATCCTGTGATCACAACGTTATGAATAGCTATAGTTCTGCTGGCATATTTTTCATGATGTGCTAGTGTGCATCATGGAATATGTCAAAAGAGCAATTGCTATTCACAACATCATGTTCATTGATGTTGTTTTAAATTATTTCTTAAACCAAGGTCCCATATTAAAAAAGATAAGGCGCATTTGAAGAAAAAAAGCATCATAGTTTCATTGCATATCTCTTTGTTTTCTTTACACCTTGACATCATTATTCATTTGGGCAGAGATAATAGTCCATGTCTTATTCACCAATTATCCTCGCAGGATGATTGTTACTATGTGCAAATATGAATTTAAAACACTAGGCCAAGGCTAGCTGTCACAGAAATGATCTCAAGGCAAAAGCGATTCTTCTCTTTCAAGTTAAATTTCTATGCTCACATCAAATGAAAGAAAAATAAAATAATAATCAGCATCAACTTATTTCAATCAGTAGTTAACTTGTAATGCTGAATGATCTTCATATACTTCATTACTTGTCAAGATCATGTGATCAGAATATTCGGATCCTACTTACAACCAAAGTGACAACGAATGGTATCCATCCAGCTGCTAGCGCTGCGCTTGGAATAGACATGATGTTAAAAGCCCAATATACAGCTACTTTATGAGGGCTATGATGACGGAAAATATGAATAAAATCAGACTTGAGCAAGCCCAACTTTGACTTGTTATTGTTTCGTTTTTCCTTTGAACTTCATTTATGCAACGCCGATCTCGATTTAAATTAATGATTATTTGTTTGATTTTTTTCAGTTCACTGTGTGATATCCTATAATTTTGTTATAGCTTTCTATTCATGAAAGTTTTTAGCATCATACATAAAAATATTTTTAATACGTAAGCTGCAGAAAACGCAAAAATAAACACTGCTTGTACTGATCGGGTTCAGTAATAAAGTCAAGCGCGCCAAAACAGCAATATGGATTTTGGAGGAAAGAGGCAGAAAACTTCCAAATCGTTAAAGACTGGAGTCAGTGGAGAAAAACATCGCCTTCAGTTTTATAAATTACCACCAAAAGAAACAATTTCTCTCCAAGAATTCGAAGAATTTGCGATAGAGAGGTTAAAAGGTGAATACTGTAGTTTAGGCTCATTTGTTTTAACCATCAGTAGCACAAGTCAAGGTGTCTTGTATGATACCTTGTATACATTTGAATACACAAGGTATTATATATAATGATATAATTAAGACCCAGGCACCTGTATTCAATAGAACCTATATGTTAAGGTTAATTAATAATTACCTATATAATATTGTACAAATCATTCTCTTGCTCTTTTAATCAGGGACCTATATACTACTAGTTAGTATATAGGTCCCTGTTTTAATAAGCTATGTGATTATTATTATTTATTAGCTCATGAGACTGATACTTTAAGGTAATTAACACAGTTATCTATCTTATTTTTGCAAGCACTCTGTCAGGGTGAGTCTATCTTTAACCTAAGCCCCATCCTTAGTGTTTTATCAGTCTAGACGAACTCAAAAAACAGCGTTTCTGAAAGTAAGAAATTGAGACTGAAAAAGACTCCAAAAATAGAGTCCGCGCATGCGCACCCACACAAAAAATGGTGATTTTTCGGCAAAAATGATGGGTGTACAAAAACTGTCCGTGCAAAGTTTTGGAAAGTATGGCAATTATACCAGTACTCAGAAATGCTAAATAAAAGACTTCGGAAGAGATCGTATTTGTCAGATTTTTTATTTTATTTGCAAAAAAGTAGATATTTACTTTCAAAGTTAACGTTTCAAGTCAGATCAATTACAGAGAAAATGATACGTTTTGAGAAGTAAATATGCATAATAAAAGGGATATATGTGCAAAATGTTACAATTATATATTGTAACTGTTAAAAACTTGACTGAATTTTAAACATAAATTAGCATTCCCGCTTATTATTTGTGTATGATATCTGAATTGAACACGTAAGTTTTTACCAGCGTTATTTTCCAATTTTTTATCACATACGAACAGATATTATTATGAAAACATTTTTAAAATTATTCTCTATCAATATGAAAACTTTTAAAAACCACTCATCTAGATATTAAGGACACAACATGTCCTCTAAAAATGAACCCGTTAATATCTCTCCTCCGTGGTGAAAAATGTGCATTTTCTGATTAAAATAAATACAAGTTGGGTGTCTTCAAAAACAAATAAAAGCAATTTATCGTAAGAATGACATAAAATTTAAATCAAGGAGACAATAAATTAAATAAGAAAATATTTCTTACCTGCAGTATTAAATTCGATGTCGTATATCCAATTCACTAAATATGCAAGAGTTTGAAGCGATAAATAAGTCAATATCCATAAAAGAATTTAATAAATGCAATTATCCATTCAACAAAAAATAAAATGAAGTAATAATGCACTTAATAAAGCCATTATGCAGCCGTATATTTGGAGACGGCGAACGACAATCCATCGTTTGTTTACATCGGATGCCATTTTGCTGCAATGCATGATGGAGCCAAAGACTTCGTTTTCGGAGTTCACGCTGTTTTTGGAGTTCGTCTAGACTGTTTATGTGCCGTATTAAATCAGGTGCTTTAATACTCAGGCATTTTAACATTTTCTCCATTGACAGCAATAAAGGAGGTTCTAATGTATGCCAATCTGTTTTGCTGTTTCTAATTAGTCCAAAAATCAAACTGTTTAGTGTCAAAAAGTCATGAAGTGAAATGAAACAATAACACCAAAACGTCAAGTTAGAAATTTAATTGGTCCAAAAAGTAATTTCTCTGAATACAGCATATAAAACACTAAGGATGGGGATAAGGTTAAAGAGACTTTAGTGTAGGAGAACATCTCCCTGACAGAGTGCTTGCAAAATTATGATAAGTAACACTCATTACCTTGCAAGTATGTCTTGAAGCAGGGAACCACCGGTTTATGTATAAATTTTGTTTCTGTAGGATTTTTATTATACCGTACATGGCAAATCTCTAAGAAAAGAATGATCTGCTGCATAGATTGACATATGGATGTGGTTGATGGGGAAATCCCAAATTTTTTAGAAACTATGATCTGTTACTATATTTTTTGAATTAAAATGGGGGGGGGGGGGATGTTATTGATCCTTAGTTAGGTGCCTGTGATTGACCTTCTAGTCCTTTGAAAATCATTCACCTGTTTTAACAGTGATTTGGAGATCAAGAAAAGAAATTAAGATCCAATCAATTGCAATATTGAAGATATATTTTTACATTTGTAGTTCTCAAAGCAATTGAAAATGCTGGTATTAGATATATGCGTGGGTCGGACGACTACAATACCTTGGTGGAGAAAGAGATAAAGAAGACCAAACTAAGCAGAATTACAAGGGTAAGGTACAGGTGTACATTAATTTAGTCATTTACTTAAGTCTGTTGAGACAGCCTATCTAGTAGATGTTTGAATATGACAAAATTATTCTTGAACAGTTTTAAAAGTCCAGGTTTGTTTTGCTTTTGATTTAAACAATAAACTTTAGGAGTGAAACGGTTCACCGCAGTATCGATTCATCGCGGTATTTTTTCTCGGTTTGATACACGGTGCAAAATCTCTAATTTTCGGTTCGGTTCGTTTTTCGTTCGGGATTGTTATTCAGTTGGGTTTGGCATAAGGTAAAACACGTTACTCAGTATAAATAAGTATGTGAAACGTAAATTTTTGATGACTGATAGCTTGTAAAATAATTTTTGACAGTCAAATAATTTTAATCAATTTCTTAGATAGTCAATTTGCAAATAAAATTCGTAAATATGTGACTAGATTTAGAAAAAGAAAGCATAAAACAACGTTGAATTTGTTTCCTTCTATCAAAATGTATCGTATCGAAAATAACCGAACCGAGACAAAATTATACAATACGTATTGAACCGTGAAGGAGGTGTATCGTTTCACCCCTAAATTAAACTCTTTGTATATTATGCACAGACTTGAAAAATAACTTTCTGTCATGTTCATTTCTCAGAAGCAAAAAAATAAGAAAACAATTTTTTACAGACAGATTTCTCTGGAGAGGATGTAGAATACAGAATGGACCACATTTCACACTTCATATTGAGACTTGCCTATTGCAGATCGTAAGTGAAAAATATTTTCCAAGTCTTGATACAATAATTTACCACTAACATTTGCATCCCTGGGAGAGAGGGGAGGAGCATATCTATAAATGTCGGTATTAGAAGGATCTAACCGTAGTCTGACCAAAGGTCATCTCTAATGTAACTAATGTTGGAAGTCAAAATCAAGCAAGGGAGGAGCATATAATGTAATACATAGAGGATATTCCATGTTTTGTAGATGATTATGGAATTTATTTCACGAGTGGGATTGGATTTTATGATATTTTCACGAGTGCAAAGCACGAGTGAAAATATAAAAAAATCCTGTCTCACGAGTGAAATAAAGTCCATATTCTTTTACAAAACATTGAATTTTCTGTTTATTACATTTTCGTAGATTTTCCCTTTGCCTCTATCTTTTCGTAACACAGTGTCATAGTCACATAGGCTGTGACATCATAGTTGAGCGGTTGAGACGTCATAGCAAAGCGATTGGGAAATTGAAAAACATTGTAAACATGGATTTTTAACGACATATTTGTAAAATACTTTGGCAGTATAACTATTAATCTCTGTCAGGATGGCTTATTAACTCTATCTTAGAACAGGCTAGGGATTTTTTTTAAAAACACTCTTCATGAAGGGAAGGAAAATTGTAAGTTTTGCTGCACTTCTGATATTCTCACACTATGAGAATACCATTTTGATATCCTTTCACACTGTGTCAGAATATCACTTTTTATTCAATAAATAAATTACAGTATTTCACTGTTGAAAATGTAATAAATATCCTTTCATATATCTTTGAAGACTGGTTTTTGTATTCTATGGTGATGATGTCTCCCAAATACACATACATTGTATGTCCCATTTTTCTTCTGATTCACAGGGAAGACTTAAAGCGATGGTTTCTGCAGCAGGAATTAGATTTATTCCGATACAGATTTATGAAAGAGACTGCAGATGGAAAACAGAAATTTCTCCAAGCCAACAGTCTGGATTATAACCCAGTAAGTCAACAGTGTGATTATAACCCAGTAAGTCAACAGTGTGATTACAACTTGGTAAGTCAACAGTGTGATTACAACCCAGTAAGTCAACAGTGTGATTACAACCCAGTAAGTCAACAGTCTGGACTCAGTAGTTCAGTAGTTGATAACCCAGTAAGTCAGCAGTGTGATTACAACTCAGTAAGTCAGCAGTCTGGACTCAGTAGTTCAGTAGTTGATAACCCAGTAAGTCAACAGTGTGATTACAACCCAGTAAGTCAGCACTCTGGACTCAGTAGTTCAGTAGTTGATAACCCAGTAAGTCAACAGTGTGATTACAACCCAGTAAGTCAGCAGTGTGATTACAACCCAGTAAGTCAACAGTCTGGACTCAGTAGTTCAGTAGTTGATAACCCAGTAAGTCAACAGTGTGATTACAACCCAGTAAGTCAACAGTGTGATTACAACCCAGTAAGTCAACAGTGTCATCACAACCCAGTAAGTCAGCAGTCTGGACTCAGTAGTTCAGTAGTTGATAACCCAGTAAGTCAACAGTCTGGACTAGGGCTGTGTATTGAGCAAAAAAATTCGATACAATACGATACAATGTTCTATAATGCGATATCCGATATATTGGATTCTTTTACAAGTCTATCAAAAAAGTTTTATAAATCATTTAATGCATGAATTTTATAAAAGCTAATTGTTTTATAACCCATTTTGAAGGTCTTGTCTCACTGTCTCTACAAATTACACTTCAAATTCAAACTTTTAATGACTGTAAAACAATATGTTAAAATAAAGTTGTCTATGTATTTTGTAATATTTATCTAAGATGTGCTATCTCCTTAATGATTAAATGATTATATCATTATTGATCGATTTTAATTCAAAACGGTAAAAATATAACCTTTGGTAATTGAAATTCCCGACTTTTTCACAGAAATATGAGAAAATTTGCCTGTCCGATACGTATT